TCATGTGTGTCTTGTTGTTGCAGCTGAGAAAACCTGTGGTGGAGAAGCTGCGCAGAGAGAGGATCAACAGCAGCATTGAGCAGCTCAAGTCTCTCCTGTGTGCAGAGTTCCTTCCAACAGCAGCCGGACTCCAAGCTGGAGAAAGCAGACGTCCTGGAGATGACCGTCACTGTGCTCACACGTCTGCAGCAGCAGAACAAGACACACTTCCTGTCCCACAGCCTCATGAAGAACTCTCAGCAGAGCCACTGCACTGAGCTGCACAACCACAAGGAGGCGCTCTTCTGTCTACAGAGCAGCAAAGACAAGAGGCCAGATAACAGTGCTCCCTGGAGGCCATGGTAGAACTGTATTGATCAAATGTTTTTGATCATTTCAAAGGAGGGCTTTTTTCTTCTTTAGAAGAGATATGTATGAGTATCAGTATGAGTGCTGAATAATAAGCAAATGTTTGACATTCAAACACTGCATTTTCTAGTAGTACAATGAAATGTTGTGAAATGGTCAACCTGACCAGACATGTTTCTTTTCTCACATTGTGAACTTATTGATTATTTTGTCAATAATCAGTGTTTTGTTGAATTGTTCATAATGAATACATACAATTGTTTTCTAATTGAAAATTGTCACTTAAATCACACAAGGTGTGTTATCCGTCTTCAGACCTGTTCTGAAAGGTCTTTAAAACATAATAATCCAATATATATTCCTTCTGCTTTTTCTGAGTGTCACTGCTGCCTCCTGTGGAGGCAAATAAATGAAAATTGAACTGGATCTAAATATCTGTAAGCTTTATCTTTAATGTTTCATTAACAATGTCTTGGTTGGTTTATAGTTACATATTGTAATGAAATCTGGAGCTGACACGTAGCACCCTAGTAACTTAATGATTATGACCTGTCATGCACTGGCACACCACAAAACACCACAGATAATGACAGGGACATACAGCACTGAAACATGAATCAAACTTTGACACTAAGTGTTCAGAGATTGGTCAGTAGTTTTACTGCTGCTGTTTCCTCATAAATGACAAGCTCACACACTGTTACTGATGCCATGTGCAATAAGACACACTTCTATTGTTCCTGTCATGAAAGGCCCAAGTGTGGGAAACCAGAAAACACTCCCTCACAGAGGACAAAAGTGCTGGCATCTGCCCCAGAGCAGAAGAAGGTGGGGGGATCACTGCTTATACTAAAGATCCAGTGTCATATTACTTGTATCAAAAATATTCCTTTATTCATTATGAATAGTTCACGATTTAGTAGTGATATGTGTGTTGTTGCAGCAAGTGTTGCGTTTATGGTGTGGATTTCAAAATGATCAGTCTTAATGTGCAGATTCGAGTTATACCTTCATGTCCTATTTGTGCTTCCTAATTGGTCAACTCCTTATTTTATGGTCAATGACAGTTTTAGTCAATAAACTTTGTTGTACTTACATAATAAACAGAACATTTAAACAGTTGAACAACCATCAACACTGTCTTCACCTCTTAATTCTGTAATGTTAGTTTGTTGGTAAACAGCATTCTAATAAGTCATTCTATGTGACAGCAGCAGGAGGAGTTGGTTTTACGGGACACATTTGCATTTGACAGGGCACGTGTCTATTGTTGAGTGGTCAAAAGGCCAAGTGTGGGAAAGCAGGGGAGAACACAGTCACAGTGCAGCGTGATCAGCACCCTTCACCAGCCGCCTGCTCCCTTGGGTGACATGGCACACTTCACATAAATGCCATAAATTAATTCAAGTGGGAAGCAAACTAATAGGGAGTTTAACAGAAGCATAAAGGTAGATAAATTATCTGTTATAAGTGTAAATGACCAAGCTTGTTTCAGACTCAGTGAGATCCATGCCACATGTTTAAAAACAGATAGAAGACAAACTGAAAACAGTGTAAGGATAAAGATAATGAGTCCATGTGCATGTACAAACACACATGTACACATGTCAAGAGGGAAAATGGCTTTACGGAGGCCAAATTAGAAGAACTAGCCACTGAAATATACAATGCATTATCCTAAAATGTCATTATTTCTTTGGGATAAGGTCACAGCAAACTAATTCAAGCAAGTTCCAAAAATTGTGAAAGTCTAGACCAAAATGTTTATACAATTTTTTGGATTAGCAATGCTCTTTTTTTTCTGTTCTCAAAAAATTTTACTGAGGGACAGAATTAACAACTGTGCAATTTAAAAAACAAACAAACAAACAAACAAACAAAAAAAAAACCAAACCAAAACAAAACAAACAAACAAAAAAAAAGTGGTTGAGGCTGGTGGGCAATTCCATATTTTGTGGAATACAAAATACAGTTTATTTTAGTTTAGTTTGAGTTACATAGTTCTATGAGTTGCATAACAAAACTGCTCACATTGTTATTTTTATGTACTCCTGCACAGATTTTTATTACCTAATTACCTATTATTAAAACAATATTGCTTTAACTGCACTACAGTATGCATGCAGCCTGGTGCTCTATACACAAAAAAGACCTGTACAAAGTGAATATATAAAGCCAGCTAATCAGATGCTTTCCCTCCAGATGGCACGTGATGTCATGGTCCCTCTCAGTTACAGCACCCGGGCGGCATCTGTCACTAAAGCCCCATTCTGAGCAGCCTTTGTGGAGGGCACATTCACTGAGCCGTGTGGGAAAGTCAGGCAGCACGTCTACTCACAGTCCAGACAAGAGCCACATCTGCTGCAGCTGGCAACACATCCAGAACTGCCCCGTGCTTGCTGCACATGAAACACACCCAAAACCACACAAAACACACACAAACAAATGAAAGTTTAGAGGACTTAGCAAAATGACTTTCAAAGTAAAAAGCACTATGATAATGACAATAAAAGCTTGAGTCTTGGAAGATGAGATCTGGGGGGGAATTCTTTAAAAACAAAATACATGCTATATTAAAAGTCAGAAAGATAGAAACATTTACCAAATACTAGGTAAAGTTTTTATAATTCTAATGGTAATGAAATCTCAGTGCAGTTAGTCATAATTGAATTGACCAGAGCAAATGTATTTAAGAAAGATCAATGTCATTGCCTAAGTGTGGAGGGACGGTCAGTGCCCTGTTATTGATTAGGTCACACTCTTCCCACATTCACTAACAGCACACTCCATCAGGCCCAAGTCTTCCACCTGCTCCTCTGGGACACCCCCCTCCCCAGAGCAATTCAGAGGGCTGCTGCCAGAAGAGCTCTGTGATTGGCTGAGAGTGTGAGAAACTAGTCCCAGTCCTAGACTCACACATTCATATGGAGATGTGGCTCTATAAATATGAAGCTGAAGGAGCACACAGCAGACTCTCTCCACAGAGCTCTACAGCTCACATCCACACATGGCTCCTACAATCACTGCAGCAACAGGCCTCTCTCAGGACCACCTCAGCCTCTCTCACAAGGTAAACACAGTTTCATTCTTCTACTCAGCCTTTTATGAAGCCTGTACAGTTTGAGTCAGTCATTTCTGTAGAACAAATGAACTCATGTGTGTCTTGTTGTTGCAGCTGAGAAAGCCTGTGGTGGAGAAGCTGCGCAGAGAGAGGATCAACAGCAGCATTGAGCAGCTCAAGTCTCTCCTGTGTGCAGAGTTCTTCCAACAGCAGCCGGACTCCAAGCTGGAGAAAGCAGACGTCCTGGAGATGACCGTCACTGTGCTCACACGTCTGCAGCAGCAGAACAAGACACACTTCCTGTCCCAGAGCCTCATGAAGAGCTCTCAGCAGAGCCACTGCACTGAGCTGCACAACCACAAGGAGGCGCTCTTCTGTCTACAAAGCAGCACCATCAACAAGAGGCAAGAAAACAGTGCTCCCTGGAGGCCTTGGTAGAACTGAATTGATCAGAAGTGTTTGGTTATTTGAAAAAAGGACTTCTTTCTGTCAGAAGAAACATTTACTTAAATAAGCATTGACTATGTTAAAATGTTTGATATTCAAACATTGCTTTTAAATTTTTCAGTACCCATGTTTTTAGACATTCATGTGTAACCGTTAATTTTTCTATTGAAAATATTTTTATTGAAATTATATAAAATAGCAGTTTACTAATTTGAAGCCTCTGTATATTTCCTATGGAAATGAAGGACCTGTCAAAGAACTGAAAGACAAGCCATATTGGCTGTTTTTGCAGACTAATGACTGGATTGTTTTATTTTGTTTGGAAATTGTATTTTCTTTAAAAAATCATTCCATGTTATTGAGCTGTTTAAGTTATCAAGTTAGGCTTTACTTCTAAGAAGTTTTTGCTTTTCACTGTGTGATATTTACAGCATTTTACATATTTGGTGTGGAAAGTTAAGGTCTATGTCTTCTGAGAAGGCAAAGTGTGTGAATCTACGCGTGTGCTCGTTTGGAATGTGTCATCACTGAGAGCTATATAAAATAATGCATTTCAAAACTTACGATTTGATCTCATTTTCTGCTATGATATAATTTTGACCTAAAGAAAGAGTTTGACCTCTCTAGTCTTAGTCTAGTTAAAAAGTAATAATGTAACGGTCAATTCAGTTCTCCGCGCCTTTAGGCGCTGTCCATGGTCCTATTACACACGTTAGAAAGAGTTACGGCAAAGTTCAAGACCTTGTTTGGCTTGGGACAAATACAAAATATAAGATAATCTAGGGCTGTGCTGTACATGCAAGAAAGACATTAAGATTTGGGAATGTTTAATATTTATTTGACAACAAGTTACAAAACTAAAACTATGGGAGCAAGCGATATTATAAAGGAATGACAACAAATACAATGCACGTAAATGAGGCCTGAACACCTTTATAAAAGGCAAAAATAACAGCAGTGAGGCCTTGCACTGTGTTCTGTTGGCTACACTGTAGACAGGATTTAGGAACACAGGAAAGTGCAAATGCTGCTCAGCCACTACAAGCTGACAGCATTTGCGCACATAGAAACACAGCTTATCAACACAAAGGGAGAAAAGCATCTAATGTCCTTATATACTGAAATATAACACAGTATGTCAGTTTTACCACGGTCTCCAAAGGGACTGTTTACTGGTGCTGTGCTCATCTGCAATGTGCCTGTGGAGCGCAGCTCTCTGGACCACATAGAAGCGCTTGATTTCTTCTCTCTCCTCGTGCTGCAGGGGCGCGTGTAGGTACAAATGCCGGAGTGTTTCCTGGAGGCACTGAGAGAAACCCTGTGAATAACTGGGCACCACAGACGCAATGGCTCTCTGACGCAGGAAGCAAACAGCCATCTCAAGGACGTCTGCCTTCTCCAGTTTGGACTGGGCCCCACCCGTGGGCTCGTATTCGTCTAGATTCAACAGAGCTTTGAGCTGCTCGATGCTGTTATTAATCCGCTCTCTTCTGACTTTCTCCACAACCAACTTTCTTAGCTAAAACACCAAAAACAAAACAAACGTTAAATTATTGCTCATAAATAAATGGACCAGTCTATTCGTTTAGTTTAGGCATTTTGGATCTAATCTGCGTCCTAGTTTATTTACCTTGTTTGGTATGTCCAAAGTTGTATCCTTGGATCTTCTCTGGGTAATAGGAGCCATTGTTGATCTCGAGTCTTTCGTCCTCCTGAGCGCAGATGAGCATGTAGTGTGCCGTGCAGACGCAAAGGCGCTTTTTATAAGACCCAGAGGATCTGCATTTTGGCGCCTTGTTCGTGGACTCCTCACACCTTAGACTTTCCCACAGTCCAGACCTGTCATAAAGTCCCGACTACAAACACATCCACTCCCCGTCTGGTTTGAGGAATCACCTCCACTTCCTCTATCTTCTCCAAGTGTGACATGAGCCCACACTAGAAGTGTGTCGCGCGGCTGTCGCGTGGTCTTTGATCACACAGAATAAAGCAAAGCAAATGGATGAAAATGAAAATTGTTTTCATTCATCGACATGCGACAGTACGCATGTGTTGCAGTCGATACGCATTCGTGAATAGGATAATCCAACGATCAGATTGACATAAAACTACATTTACAAACCCACTGACATTACAAGATTACAGATAAATGTGTTGTGGAAAAGGAAGGCTTTCTAAAACTTTCTATCTAATGTATTCCCTCCCGTCTTGTGGTGTTTTTGATCTTTAACCAAAGTGAGAAGAGGGGAAGCAGGGGTGCGGAGTGTGTGCAGAGGTGCCAAGTTGGCCAAGTTTGCACCTTCTTATTAAAAAAAAAAAAAAAAAAAAAAAAAAAAAGCCTTCCAGCATCACGGGCACAAGCAACAGACCAGCGTGGACACCACGCGCCACTCAGCGGGAGTCTAACTAGATGTGCGTAAAATCCTTACGGCAAATGTTAATGAAGGAATCGACATCATGTCCTAATGCATGCAAAAAACTAAGCATTTAAGGTCAACAAGTTGTGTTTTTACAATAAAGTGACCTGGTGAGAGTGCCACGTGCTGAAAGTGAACCCACTGGATGTGTTACAGGTTTAATATCCATGACAGCCTACACAATACAGCCAAGCACTGACAACATGTTGTTCCTTACTTTTCAAAATGAACCAATGAAGCAGAATACGTGGCAAGATTTTCTGAAAAAGAAAATAAATTTCCAAGTATCCTGTTTAAAAAAAAAAAAAAAAAAAATAAATTCAGGGCAGATAAATCAAAATTACCGCCAGTGAACAAAAAAAATCACAAATCCCCTTGGAATGTGCTTTGTCGGTTTGGTCCAAAGACGTAAGTAATAACAACAACAATAACAACAACATGTATAAATAATAATAATAATAATAATAATTTCAAAAATAAAATAAAACTAAATACAATTTTGAATAAAATTTTAATTAAAATCAACTTTATGTATAGAGCACACTGTAGTGCATGTATAGAGCACATAAAATACATTTATAAACAAAAACAAAGTTCCCAAAGTGCTACAAACCACACCACTCTAATATATATATATATGTATATATATATATATATATATATATATATATATATATATATATATATATATATATATATATATATATATATATATATATATATATATATATATATCACAACCGTCATATGCAGCTACATTATTTGACCTATTTTCTGGATTTCTAATTTTAATGGGATATAATATAAGTGGGGGTGCTGCTGGGTTGTCTGCAGTAACAGAGGGTTTATGGTTAAGTGGAAGTGTGCCTTCTCCCCAGAGAAAAAGATCAGCTCTGTTGATGAGACTAAAATGACACAGGGTCAACTTTCCACAAGTTGTTAAAAGAAGTACTTGTTTTTGCTGGTGATATTGCAGTCTGCACATATGAGAGATTAAAATGACAGACAATTAAAAAAAAAACATTTTTTTTTGCAATTGTGTCCGTGTGTGTGAATGCAGCATGTGTCTTATCTTTGTTTTTAGTAGCGCTTATCAGTCGCTGTCTGCCCCTGCACATCTGCAGCCAACTGATCAGATGAGACGGCGGGAAGGTTCCCAGGTAATAAAAGTGTATTGACCTGCTTGTGTTGGTCTGTACCTTCACATATCTGCCGCAGAACTCCCTCCACTCAGGCCATGGGGCCAGTTAACCATGAGATAATTGATGCCTCTCTCCTATTGTTGTGTCGGCCTAGCCCACTGGCCTCAGAGTGTGGGAAAGCTAATCCTGCCTGGGACTCATGGCTTTGTAATGCTAATGTCCGCCTATAAATAGGGCAGAGGGATCCTCAGCCAGATCACAACTCACTCTGCTCTCCAAGAGAAACATCTCAGCTCTGCTAAAATGGCACCAACCTGCACCAGAGACTCAGCTATTTCAATGCTCTCAGCCAAAGACAAACACAAAGTAAGTCAGTTACAATCATTCCAGACTCTCTTCTGATTGTCATACTTTATCTCATTGTGCATTCAATCAACAAGTTTCTAATTGAATGTCTTTTTTTCTATAGCTGAGGAAACCAGTTGTGGAGAAGATGCGTAGGGACCGTATCAACAGCTGCATTGAGCAGCTCAAAGTCCTGCTAGAGAAGGAGTTCCACAAACAAGATCCTAATGCTAAGCTGGAGAAGGCCGACGTCCTGGAGATGACTGTGGTGTTCCTGAAGCAGCAGCTACAGAGCCCAGCCTCTCAAATTGCCCACATGGAGGGCTATTCTCAGTGTTGGAAGGAGACCATGCACTTCCTGTCCTCATCCTCCATCAAGGACATGTCCCTGTCTCACCTGCAGCGCCTCCGCTCTCCTCAGCCTGTGTCCCAGGATATGTGCGCCACTCTTCCTGTCTGCTCTCAGCTCCACAGCCAGTCCAGTCCAGTCAAGCAGCCGCCTGCTCCTGTCAAGTCCATGTGGAGGCCCTGGTAGAGGCCCCAAATGCAGATTCTCAAACACAACAGATGGGTGTCTCCATCATACAAATTTTTATTCATAAACAAACAGTTCTGTTGTTCAGTTTCTTATTTGTAAAAGCTTTGCTTTAAGTCTATTTGTAAAGGCCAAAGCCTGTGACCTGTACCAGGTGTTTGACTCCTATGGAGTTGGTAAATTTTGTGTATCAAACAGATGTAATACATGTTGTATTGTTAATCCTCTATGTGGAGGATGGTGTTACTGTTACCTTTTGCAAAGGATAACTATAAATATATATGTATTTGACAAATGTTTATTTTCTAATAAGATGAAGATTGATACATTATTTATATAAATAAATATTTTCAATTTTCATACAAAAATTTGTGAGTTCTTTAGGTTATAGACATGAACAAAGGAGAAATCATTTTAAGTAATGAAGAAAACTTGTGAGCAATTTCATATTAGTGATAACAAATTTACATTACAACAAAGATTAGACACCTACACGTGTCCTCATCTTTTGGGGCTAATGAGGTTTGATCACAGAGCTTGCTGGTCCTCGTGCTGCAGGGCCTCAAAGAGCCACTTCTGTGTGAGTGTGTCTATGCTATGTCTCATGCTTTGTGTGTTAAGCCTTAGGCTACTTTTGAGCAGTGCTCTGTCAACTCGGGTTTCATCAAACAGCTGGTGAGCTGAGCTGGTGCAGGGCCGCAGGGCGCACCTCCCCTGTGTGGAGCCTGCCTCTGCACAGCTTTCCCACACTACTGAGCCTTTCTCCCCCTTCATCCCAGGACAAAAGAAGTGTGCCGTGGAAAACCCTCCTCCCAACAACTATGGCAAGAACCCTCCTGACCCTGCTGATACCCCCTTCTTCTCTGACAAATCTCCATCAAGTTTAGGAGGGAAACTCAACTTTCCTTTACACAAGCAGCTGTAGCAATTGATAGAGTGGTATTTATCTCAAATTACTATAATTTACTATTATATAACTACAATCTATTATCTATAACAAAATAAAATATAATGAGCTATGCCAGTTAGAATAATTTGTAGATACAATGAAATAGAGTTTACATGTTTATAGCCTGTTTAAAGTGTAGGTTTAGCCATGGTGTGGATTTCTCTCTGAAGATCAGTAGTTGATGTGTGTTGACAACACAGACCTGCACTTGTAACTGGACCTGTGTGAAGCGTGGGAAATCTCTGCCCTGCGTCTGATGGAAGCAGGTGTAAGTTGGGCCAAGGGGCAGGTGTGTCCCAGGTGAGAACAGATGGCTAAACACATATCACTGAGTAAACATACATATATCTAATATAAATAACACTAGACAGTGGTCAGGACAAAACATTTAGCTTTTTCCCCCCCACAGCCGGCAGAACAGTCTCTCGATCACTATTCTTTATACACAATATGTACCTGTGACTTAACAAAATAAAGAATAACCTGACTGAATGATAATGGCATATGTCCCCTCTTCTCTATTTGGTAACAGGTCTACATATATATTCATATCAACTGCAAAAACTGTAATCTGTAATTTGGGTTACAGATGTCAAATGACAAAGACTTGGGACTTCACTTGGAGCAAGCAAACTAAGGTCCTACCTGTGATATGCACAATGCTTTCAGTGACTCACCAGACAATGATTTTTTCATTAAAACATGTCTAAACTCTCAAAGTGGGTAGATCTAAACCAAACTGATACATTTTTAAGTTACACACATCTAGTTTCATGGAGGGAATTTTAATCAATGTACTGCAATATAATTGCTTTGTATTGAGGGTATTAGCTAATGCAAACTGTCAGTATTAGCCCTCTGGCAACTAAAACTCATGCAGTTCTACATAAATCCTGCATCTATGTCGTCTTAAACATCTGGAGATAGGTCTCTGTACAGGTTGCTCCAAAGGCAATGAAATGCAGATGACACATTTCGTTAGGAGAGACAATAATGTACACCTTAACCTTAAATAGTGAATTTCAACTTTCTATCCAAATGAAACAATAAAGATAAAGACAAAGACAGAATAATGTTTTTTCAAATGTATTTTTCAAAAGAGCATATTGTATGGTTTCTCTTTAGAGAGTACACATGTAAGAGGTGATGTCTTTCCATAGAAAAGTGTCTTTCAAACAGTGTCAACAATTTAACACAACAAGAAGCCTTCACAGAAGGCATTCAATACAACATGATTACAAGGGCTATGATAGAAGAGCTTCAAGAAAATACATGTTGGCATAGCAACTAATATCTTTATAGATAATCCTCACTGTAAGAATTAATGACCAATTAAAACAGTGCTTCAACAACACAAACTAAATTGTACTGCTAAAACAGCATCTCTGTAATATTCTTCAATATGAAGAAAGTCTTTTTTTAAAAGATCCATATCATCGGAAATTCTTCTCCTACAGTAAGAATGATGGAGACACCCATCTGTTGTGTTTGAGAATCTGCATTGGGGCCTCTACCAGGGCCTCCACATGGACTTGACAGGAGCAGGCGGCTGCTTGACTGGACTGGACTGGCTGTGGAGCTGAGAGCAGACAGGAAGAGTGGCGCACATATCCTGGGACACAGGCTGAGGAGAGCGGAGGCGCTGCAGGTGAGACAGGGACATGTCCTTGATGGAGGATGAGGACAGGAAGTGCATGGTCTCCTTCCAACACTGAGAATAGCCCTCCATGTGGGCAATTTGAGAGGCTGGGCTCTGTAGCTGCTGCTTCAGGAACACTACAGTCATCTCCAGGACGTCGGCCTTCTCCAGCTTAGCATTAGGATCTTGTTTGTGGAACTCCTTCTCTAGCAGGACTTTGAGCTGCTCAATGCAGCTGTTGATACGGTCCCTACGCATCTTCTCCACAACTGGTTTCCTCAGCTATAGAAAAAAAGACATTCAATTAGAAACTTGTTGATTGAATGCACAATGAGATAAAGTATGACAATCAGAAGAGAGTCTGGAATGATTGTAACTGACTTACTTTGTGTTTGTCTTTGGCTGAGAGCATTGAAATAGCTGAGTCTCTGGTGCAGGTTGGTGCCATTTTAGCAGAGCTGAGATGTTTCTCTTGGAGAGCAGAGTGAGTTGTGATCTGGCTGAGGATCCCTCTGCCCTATTTATAGGCGGACATTAGCATTACAAAGCCATGAGTCCCAGGCAGGATTAGCTTTCCCACACTCTGAGGCCAGTGGGCGAGGCCGACACAACAATAGGAGAGAGGCATCAATTATCTCATGGTTAACTGGCCCCATGGCCTGAGTGGAGGGAGTTCTGCGGCAGATATGTGAAGGTACAGACCAACACAAGCAGGTCGTTACACTTTTATTACCTGGGAACCTTCCCGCCGTCTCATCTGATCAGTTGGCTGCAGATGTGCAGGGGCAGACAGCGACTGATAAGCGCTACTAAAGACATAAAGATAAGACACAGGCACATGCTGGACTCGCACCTGTGAACTGTGACTAACCTATTTCATTAATCATTAAGATGCAATAACAAAATAATGTATATCAGTAATACTTTTACAACAAATGAAATTATTCAGTGAGTAGTGTATGATAGACCCAGTAATAATAATACATGGAAATTCTTTGAAATGATTTCTGGAAAATTATAGCCTACTGGAATTTGCATCTATTCAGAACATTTTCTTAAACTCTGACAGCGCCAGAAAGTCCAGGGAAAAATGGGACGCGGGATTGAAGACACATTCCAAAAGCAACTGTCAATTAAACACAATTATCCAGTGTCCTGTGGGAAGGCACACTTCTATTGTGCAACGCCTGCACCCCTGTGCCCCCCTTAGCCCCCCTTAGCCCTGCTTTGCTCGGTCATTTAGGGGAATATGTAATAAATGGGAGGCAGAGTGTGGGAAAGGAGGCTGGGATCCAACTCACACACACCCTTTAGTCAATAGCTCACAGACTGCCCCCCCCGCAACACCTCCCACCCACAGAGAACCTTTCAACCTGTGGGCCAGATCACAGGCACCGCCATCAGGGCACGCGTGTGGCCTCCTTCAATCTCTTCCCGCTCTCTGCCCAGGCTCTGTGTGTGTATTCTCATATACTGCTTACTCCTGTCATCTCTATGAATCTTGTCCCCCCCACCAATGTTATTATTACCTGCACTAATAATTGCAACAATTATGAAATATTGTAAGTAAGATAATCAGTATTTTAAATCTGCACATTATATAGGCTTTAAATAGGTGGTATTACAGTGGTATTACACATCTGAATATGGTAGAATTCTGCCATATTCAGATGTGTAATATCACTGATTTGTGTTTGCTATCTGCTTAGTAAATCTCACTTTCTTTGTGATTAAATTTAACATAGTTTCCTACCTACTGAAATATATTTTATTATATATATGTATTTTTTAAATCTAGGTTTTTATAATGAATGTGGCATTGTACTGTCCTAATGAGCATTAATAACACCTAAATATGCACAAGTGCCAGATGGCAGAGAGAAATGTCTTTTCTTCTGTTCCTCAGGACGCATTTCTCAGAAGTGAGTCATGACACAAAATTCAGATGAAAATGCACTGCTTGGCCCTTAAACGCATTCCAGTGTGGACTTTCTTTTCTATTGATAAAGCAGGGCCTCATGCTGGGGCCCGCTGCCACACACACTGCCACACTGCTCCCACGTGCACACGTCGCACAACAAGTCTCCATGGCTTTGAGCCCAGATGCGCCTACTGTCTGTGTGCAGCCACAGGACCTCTGTGCACTGAGGAATGTGTGAGAGCCCCGAACTGCTCCTCTTTCCCACACTTAAGCCTCCATTCAGGCCAGTGCCCCACCCGACTGCAGCCGCCACTGATCCTGCAGGCCCTCATTATACTCTGTGCTCAATAGGCCATCTGGACCTCTACCGGGGGACCAAGCACTACTCTCACATCCGCTGTGCACCTAAGTCACACAGGTAGGTAGACATCATTACAAATATGGACAGCCAAATTTAAGTAGTATGTTCACAAAAATTATAATTAGGCTAGCAAAATATTGTATATAACCTAATTTTATATGACAGCAGTGTTTTACTGTAAATGTACATATGCTCCTCATTAAATTATAATGAATAAGTGAAAAACTTTCACCAGTTACCCTGTCTGATCTGAGCAGTGCTTCCACTATGTAAGACTCATCACATGACACTTTAATGCTTAACACTGGGCACTCACATGAAGGACTGAGGGCTCTCTGGTCTCTGAAAAGAGGTCAGCCTTTTCCCAGGTTCTCTGAGAGGATGTTGGAGTCACAAGGAGACTTCTGAAGGCACACACCTGCCCCTGTCTTTGTGGTTAGGGCCATGCCCCCAAGCACCAACAGTCAAAGTCTGGTTCAAGACAACAGCCTCAGGAATGCTTTGTGCCTAGTTGTGGCGGGAAACAGTGACCTGCAACAGAAATAACTAATAACTAATAATTAACTATGAAAACTAGTGGTCAGATTAGCCCAAACAAAGGCCCAAAACAAAACCATAGGCCTGCAAATGAAGTTAAGTAAAAAGTATCCAAATAAAATATACTTGTAAATGTAAAAAAGCCAAAAGATATCTGAAATTTGTATTTAGATTACTTTACTTTGCTGCTTTTTGGCTGCCTAGGCCCCAATAAGGCCTATCACATATGGCTGAGCAATTTATTGATTTAATAAGGACAGTGTATATCTGAACATCTGTAACGGTGTAAATATGACTAAAAGGTTGTGGTTCAAAGGCAGGTGACACAGAAAACAATAAAAAATACAGTTACAGAAACAGTGAGAGACACAGTAAACACATAACAGCAAAAAGGCAGATTAAGTGTTACAGACTTTTTCCCCCTTTTCTTTAGTTTATATTGTATAAAGTATATACAGCGTGTGATACGGATGCTGCCGTGTTTTAGCCTAACAACAAACTGACCCATAATACTGTCAAACTTGCCACATGCGCGAGCCTGTAAACTGTGGTAAGTAAAGGGCTGATAGATTGTAGACCCAATGTGGTTAGGCTACAGTTTATGTAGGCTAGAAATCAATAAATGAGTGTTTGGACTGATGGACGCACACGGGGCTTTAATCCAACGTAAAGTGCGCAGGTGTAGAGTCTCGATGGACGCAACATTTCTAAGCTACAATTCTCTTACTATGGTTTGTCTGCATGATGACGATCAGAGGTTTCCCGCCTTTTACATGGTCCCAGCTGCTGCTTCTCTCTTCAAAGGCTTTAATCTCTTCAGCCTTGTTGCCCAAACTTTCCCACAGCACACTTTGAGTAGCCACACAATAGACGTGTGCCGCATTCAATAGCAAATTAGTCACGGCCGGGCTGTCTACCGCACGACAGTCCCAGGAGACTGCATGGATGAAGGTGGGTAGGCCATTAATTCATCTTCATTCATCAATAAAATAATAGTACAAGCATGATCCTCTTTAATGTTAAAACAACAAATAAATACTCTCCCCAAAACTTTTAAGTACCCACAAAAAGCCTTAAAAACTAACTTCCTCCATGTATTCCAGACAGAGAAAGTGACAACAAGTAGGCCTAAACAATAATAATAAAAAAATTAAAATAAATATGAGATATTCACACACACTACATGAATAATGTAGGGTTATTTATTAGCAAAAATCAGTGGCGGCTGGTGGTATATTTGTGTTTTGGGGGGTTATAATATATATTATAAATATAATATTATATATAGGCTATATAGTATTATAACGAATGGCAGAAACAGACAGAGATTTTGGCCACTACTGCCTGAACTATATCCATCAGAGCACAACGCACAATCTGATCCACCGCTCACAACCAGCTCCAACAACATCAGCAAAAGTGCAGTAAGAGGCTACGGTCACAACTCAAACACACGGCATCAGCTCCACTCCTACAGCACACGGCAGTAGTGATGTGACGTTCCGTATCGAGGCTTCGAAGCGTGTGTCGAGTAGGGAGGGGGCGTTTCCTCGATGCGCCTATCGAGGCTTGCTCCATTTAGGGGAGGAGCTAAAAATGATGACGTCCGAAGCCTCGCTGCCCGGCTGTACCACGTGACTGATTCAGGAAGTGGTTCGGATTTTGCTGTTATTTTAATAGATCGATTTTGCTGCGATTTCCATTTTCATCATTTTCAAATAATCATTTTCCATACTGCCAGTATATAGATACACAGTACACTGCCATCACTACAATATACATGTTTTCTATACTTCTTTATTTTGCTGACAGTATTAGTCACAGGCTTTCTGCAAAATGTCACACAATTCAAATTCATGTCAACTGATATTTTTGTGTCCAGTAGATGTCCTGTGAAATGAAGCTTCAAGAAGCTTTGCGCTAGAGTGAACCAAATGGATGAAAGGCTTCAATGCGTGATCAAACTTCATTTGCTCATCACTACAAGGCAGAACAACCGGAGCAGCTCCGTCGGCTCCGAGCTCATTTATCACTATTTAACTATTAACACTATTTACCTGTGAGGCTCCACCCGCAGATTCACCCATAACTAACGAAAACAAGCCTCTTACCTTCTCCATGGGAATGATGCAGAGCTTATCCTCTGTCCACTGTCCTGTTGGTTCTGTCTCCAATATTAAGCGATCAAACTGGTCAAAGTCCCAGTCCAGTCAGGTCCGACACAATGTCCAGGATCTGAATGCACGAGCTGGTTGTAAAACTAGACTTAATCTCTCTTCCCACTTAAATCTAAAGTCACAGCCACTCCATATTTGCACTAGGGCACCAGGTAGATTTAAGACCTGAAACTTTTACGCCCAGAAACAAGCGGGCGGAGGATAGAGCAGCCAGTGAGTGCCTCCGGTGTCTTTAGGACTCTCCTCCCGCTTTCCTGTGTGGAGGTTTAGGCGAAAGTAGCTAGCCTTCATTAGCCAGTGTGTGAATCAACACAAGAGCCGCAGGATTTCACGCAGCAGATGCACTCATTTCAGCTTAATGCTTCCTTCTTGCTTGGCAGAAGGCTCCCGCTGAAGAGAAGACATATTACGCCCTAAAAACTGTTCCTCGGACGCACTTTGAGTTGAAGTTGAACTCGCGATAACTCCTATAGCACACATAGTCCGGTTCCTTATATTCATTTTTTAACCTTAGTGGGAATTTTTTGGGGATTAGCTAAACTGTATATTTCTGGAAAGGTTATAGTATATGGAGTCAGAAAATCAATGTTTGCATTTGCCCACATGTCTATATGGTGGCCATATTGAATAAAAAAAAAAAGGCCACCAAAAAACTCTTTGAAATATATCAGCCTCTGAATAAGTTGAAATGTTGATTTTGACTGCTAAACCTACATTTTCAGGGTCAGGGGACTCAAATGGTGCTAGTTACAAAGCTATAAGACCTACCCATATTAACCCTTAGATGCATAAGTGGGTCAAAAATGACCCAGTTTCGTTGTTTCCTTGCAATTTCATTGTAATATTCGCATGTAATACTCCATGTTCCTTATTTTTTATTATCCTGTTGAAATACATCAACAATATGGGTAAAACAAACTATAAACATCACATGCAGTTGGTCAGATAACTCAAAGAGTTTAAAAGTAGCTAACATAAATTTTGGATGTTGGATGTCAACATACGCATTTAGACACAATATGATTACTCAGCCTTTTTTATTAGACATTTTCTATACATCATCATCACTTTCATACAACCATAGACCGTATATATGAGTGAACAGATCTAACGCTGTAGCCGCCACGTGCCAAATAGGAAGTTCTCCAGGAGGCTCTTCCGGCTCCTTCTGACTCTGGCTCCAACAGACTTACATTAGGATCTTGTGGCTCCTCTCTCTGTACCTGCTGCAGTGAGCTTGCTATTTTGTCCATCAAAAAAATCCTATTCATAATATAAAGCCTGTGGGTGGATCAGATCCGTCCTGAGGATCGTAAGTCTCTGGATGTTGTGGGTCTTGGTTGACACATCTCTTCGACATCGCGTGGCGGTCGGGGACAGTTCCTCTGGATTGGCAGACCGAGGTGGTGGTCCCTCTATTCTGTATCTGTATATCCCTCAACTACAGGGGAATCACACTCCTCAGCCTCCTTGGTAAGGTCTATGCCAGGGACTGGAGAGGATAATCTGACCATGGTTTTCGTCCCGGTCGTAGAACATTGGACCAGCTCTACACTCTCCATCGGGTGCTCGAGGGCTCATGGGAGTTTGCCCAACCAGTCCACATGTGCTTTGTGGATCTGGAGAAGGCATTCGACCGTGTCCCTCGTGGTGTCCTGTGGGGGGCACTCTGGGAGTATGGGGTCTGGGGCCATTTGCTAAGGGCTGTCCGGTCCCTGTATGACTGGAGCAGGAGCTGTGTTCGCATTGCTGGCAGTAAGTCAGACCTGTTCCCAGTGCAAGTTGGACTCCCCAGGGCTGCCCCTGTCACCGGTTCTTGAGGGGGTCCGGTTTGGGGACACCAGGATCATCTCTGATGTTTGTAGATGATGTTGTGATGATGTCGTCCTGTTGGCTTCATCAAATCAGGACCTGCAGCACAGGGGTGGTTTCACCCGAGTGTGAAGCGGCTGGGATGAGGATCAGCTCCTCCAAATCTGAGGCCATGGTTCTCAACCAGAAAAAGGCGTCTTGTCGTCTCCGGGCAGGTGGAGAGTCCCTGCCTCAAGTGCAGGAGTTCAAGTATCTCGGGGTCTTGTTCACGAGTGAGGGGAGAATGGAGCGTGAGATTGACAGGCGGATTGGTGCAGCGTCGGTAGTGATGCGGTCGCTGTATCGGACCGTTGTGGTGAAGAGCGAGCTGAGCCAAAAGGCAAAGCTCTCGATTTACCGGTCAGTCTGCTTTCACCTATGGTCATGAGCTCTGGGTAATGACCAAAAGGACGAGATTGTGGATACAAGTGCTCGAAATTAGTTTCCTCCGCAGAGTGGCTGGGCGCTCCCTTAGAGATAGGGTGAAGAGCTCAGTCACACGGGAGGAGCTCGGAGTAGAGCCACTGCTCCTCCACGTTGAGAGGAGCCAGCTGAGGTGGCTCGGGCATCTGTTCCGGATGCCTCCTGGACGCCTCCCTGGAGAGGTGTTCTGGGCATGTCCCACCGGGAGGAGGCCCCGGGGAAGACCCAGGACACGCTGGAGGGACTATGTCTCTCAGCTGGACTGGGAACACCTCGGGATCCCCAAGGAGGAGTTGGAGGAAGTGTGTGTGGAGAGGGAAGTCTGGGAGGCCCTTGTCAGACTGCTGCCCCCGCGACCCGGCCCTGGATAAGCAGAAGAAAATGGAATGGAATAATATAAAGCCTGGCCCCATATTCACTCCTTTAACTGTGAACATCACGAGCCTCATTTGAGCAGTGCTGAACGCTATGGGTGTATATATATGGGCGGATCATATCACAACATCTTCAGGGCCTTTGTGAATATCCTGTGATAGCAAATATAAGTGAGACCGAAAAACAAGCAGGACAACCCTATTTGGACGACTCAAGAACCAGAGCTCGGAGCCGGCAGAGCTTGGAGCCCATGGAGCTCGGAGCCCGGCTGGCCGTGGATCTATCCATCTTGTTGAACAGTAGCTAATGTTTATTAAACAAATATATGAAATAAGTGCATGTGCGATTTGCTTCATTTAGTTTTCTTTAAATAAATGATGTCATGATAGCAGCAGTTGGTCCTAGTGAAGGCTCAGGATCCAGATTAACAGTTCACCACTCCCAAGTACAAAGGCAACTGCAGAACTGCACACCAGAAACTTCAGATTTAGCCTGTACCGACATATGTCAGTGCAGCTGCCAGTGCCAGAATGATGATGATTCCCAAGCCGTGCTTTTGCATAGACTGTATAAAAGAAGTGGACTAAGCGAATTTGACCCACAGAGTTCAGCGTCGCTCAAATGAGGCTCATGATGCTCATGGTTACAGCAGCAAATCTGGAGCCAGACTGTATATTATGAATAGAGTCTGGCTCAATTTTTTGACGGACAAAATAACAAAAAATTTAAATAAAAAATTCTGGATCATGTAAAGTTAATACGAACATTTTAAGACCAAAATGTCGAGGCTCACAGCAGCAGTTACAGAGAGAGGAGCCACAAGATCCTAATGTAAGTCCATTGGAGCCAGAGTCAGAAGGAGCCAGAAGAGTCTCCTGGAGAACTTCCTGTTTAGCACATGGCGGCTACAGCGTTAGATCTGTTCACTCATATATACAGTTTATGGTTGTATGAAAGTGATGATGATGATGTATAGAAAATGTCTAATAAAAAAGTTGCATAATCATATTGTGTCTAAATGCGTATGTTGACATTCAACATCCAAAATTTATGTTAGCTACTTTTAAACTCTTTGAGTTATCTGACCAACTGCATGTGATGTTTATAGTTTGTTTTACCCATATTGTTGATGTATTTCAACAGGATAATAAAAAAAAAACATGTTTTTGGAGGAACATGGAGTATTACATGCAAATATTACAATGAAATTGCAAGAAAACAACCAAACCGGGTCATTTTTGACCCACTTATGCATCTAAGGGTTAATATGGGTAGGTCTTATAGCTTTGTAACTAGCACCATTTGATTCCCTGACCCTGAAAATGTGGGTTTAGCAGTCAAAATCAACATTTCAACTTATTCAGAGGTATTTCAATAAGAGTTGTTTCGTGACCATTTAAAAAAAATTCAATATGGCCACCATGTAGACATCTGGGCAAATGCAAACATTGATTTTCTGACTCCATATACTATAACCTTTCCAGAAATATATAGTTTAGCAAATCCCCCAAAAATTCCCACAAATTATACAAGGAACCGGACTAACAGCTTTGTTGTTATCCATTCATTAGCCTGTAGCAGTAACATGCTGCTAGTAGAGAGCTGGGGCTACGCGGGAGAACGAATACACGTTCAATTTCAAACTAAATATTAAACATATAACTTAATACAAAATAACGACTTTATATAATTTTTAAATTTTATTTTTTTTACTAGGTCAAGTTAGGGAGTGCGGCGCACTTGCACCCTCTATAGACCAGCCGCCACTGACAAAAATAATATGCATGTATGATTTATTAATACAGGCACAAGGTGTGTCATATTGTTAGGCAATGACATAAAGCCTATATTCAGCTAAAACAGAGTTAAGAGTAGAAAACTAGAACTCTTATTAGATTTAAGAATCGTACACAATAGCCTAATTTCTCAAAACATGTTCTTCTTGAATTTTTTGGATTAGGCTACCAATCCATACACGCACAAACATAAACCCAAATACATTCTGTATTGAAACAATTTAAAATGTACCCTTCAAATACAACCATTCATTTATTCTTGCCTTATGGTTTTGTAAAAAAATAGTGAACAGGGATCCATGGCCTGGGATTCAATCCTCATATTCATATGTTGAGATTAAAGGTGAGATTTAAAAAGAAAAACCTATTGACCTACACTTAAATAATTAAAATACACCTTTACAGTACAGTTAACAACATGATACGTGTGACCTTACCTCTATGGTACAGCAAGTATTAAAAAGATAGGGCTAGTAGCCAGATAAAAAGTTAGCCATTACATTCGTTATGTTTATATTTTATCTTTCAAGGAAGACTCTGTAAACCATTCATACTGTATGCACAAGCACAAATGACTGCTTGAATCACATTTGTCTGGAACTACAATCAATCCATGATCAGTGCAAATCTGTTCAGAGTAAATTACCTGAATCTACAGAAAGTCAGCAATAAGCTATATATTATGATATCCTTTTAAAAATGTGTATTAGTCAGTCAATCAGGACAGAGGATAAGCCATGATAAGATGTTGGCTTGGATGTATTATGGATGTGCTGTTCTTTAACCCATGTAGAGGTACTTCCAATCTGTTAGTGGGACGTGTGTCTCCTTTACAACTTGTGGTGATGTCCATCTTAGTACATAGTGTGGTCCTCCTGGTTTGTCATTTGTTCCTTTTTTAAGAAAAAAAAAAAAAAAATCATTAGAAATTTTATGTAACCAAGTGTGACTTCTGTATGATTGGGTTAGAGTGGTAGATTTTCTCTAACCTGAAGCTCTGGCGCCCCCAAATGGTTGCTGGGCAACAATGGAACCTGTGGATTTGTCATTGACATAGTAGTTCCCCGCAGCATTTCTCAGTACTTTTGCAGCCTCGTCGATAACATTCCTGTAAAAAAACAAAAAAAACAAAACATTTATGTGAGTATGTCTGCATGTCTTAATCTTCAACATGCAAAAGTTCTTGTGACGTCTTACTTGTCTTGTGCAAACACTGCCCCAGTGAGGGCATATGGAGATGTGCTGTCTATTAGATTCAGCACTGTCTTATATGTGTCCTCTGGATATACATAAACTGTTAGAACTGGTCCAAAGATTTCCTAAAAGTTGGATCAAAAAATTAGCAGTCAGTTAGCCACATTTAATGACAGCAATGCCAAAGACAAAGCATTCATCTAGGACACAGGTGTCAAACATAAGGCCCGGGGGCCTTTAATCTGGCCCTCGGCTGATTTTCTACAAAAATATTTTAATTATATTTTCTATTAAAATATTGGTAATTTTCTGTGGTGTTTATCACAGCAGCCTCTCCAGCGTCTCTGTACGTGGCCCCTCCCACCGGAGCAGCACAAATGAAGACTTGTCTCTTTCCAAACGCTCTTAAAGGACGATCGTTTTGACTGTTGACCGTGACACCGTCATCAGAAAAATGTCCAAAATGAGAAAAGTGGAGCCGAGTGCAGGATTTTCCAAGAAAAATTGACTTATTCCTATTTACATACAAGTTCATGTTAAAACATTGTGTTGAAATAGCATTTTTTTCATAATATTTTAATATTTTGTAAAAGAAAGAGTTCATCAATTAAAAAAGATTTCTGTAATAGATGATCTCTGCACAAATATTTGAAATTATTGCTGTTTTTGGGATATATATGTCATGAGTTTTCTGATCCGGCCCCTTTGGGATCAAAGTAGGTTGGATACGGCCCTCGGACCAAAATGAGTTTGACACCCCTGATCTAGGATTTCAGGCACACAAGTAGACTAAATTACCATGTCCCAAGACTCCAGAGAAGTTAAGCAAATGCATTTTAAGCAATCAAATGTTTGTACCTCTTTCATGATATCATCTTGTGGGTCCTTGGTCTCAATGATTGTTGGTTCCACAAAATAGCCCTTTTGGTCATCACAGTTTCCACCAGCAACAATTTTTAGATTTGGGGAGGATTTTGCATAGTCAAGCCATTTCTTTATGCGACCAAATGACTGGTGAGATAAAAAGTACTTATTTTCCCTCTTTTTGTAAATAACATATTTAAAAAAAACATTATTTAGAACTAAATTAATACCTTGTCATCAATAACAGCAGAGAAAAATGTACTGAGGTCTTCAACAGGCTGAAAAAATAAAATAATGTTAATAATGGATGTTTAAACGATACATTTGTTTTGTATTTATTTTCAGTATCAATCAAAAGAGTATCGAGTTTCATTACTAGTTTTAGTACATGTATAACAGTTGTTTTGACAACCTCAACTTACATCTCCTACTTTGATTTGTTTGTGCACAGAGAGAAGCTCCTGTTTGATCTGTGGCCACAGTGTATCAGGAACATACATCCGCGAGCAAGCAGAGCACTTCTGGCCTCCGTATTCAAAAGCCGAGCGGATTGTCCCCATCACTACACTTTGAACATCTGCAGACTTATGGACAAAGTGAAAGTTCTTTCCGCCACACTCTAAAAATGTAGAAATACAACATTACTGTTTATCACTCTGACAATAAAACATTCACTCATTTACTTAAACTGTTAATTTGTTATGTCACCTATAAGACATTTATTTTACTGAAAATGATAAAGGTAGTTCAATGCAAGTATCAGAAAACAAACCTCCTGCTATCCGAGGAAAGTTCTTGTATCTGTCCAAATTCTCACCAACCTGTTTCCAAAGACGTTTGAATGTCCTGCAAAAACACAGGTCCTTATTATAATTAGAAATTATTTCTCAAAGCATTGCCATTACCTAATCGCTGATGTCAGCTGTGGCTACAAAATTAGCTTACCCTGAGGTAGACTGCTTAAAGGAAGGCAGCCAGTTTGCGCAATTGGCTGTTCAGGGACCTACCACTACTATACTAATACTATACAAATTCACATGTCACATTCAGTGCCTTGCCCAGAGACACAACAATAGCATGAATGGCTCTAATCACTAAGCCACTCCCACCCCACCATGTGCCTCTCAAATGGAGTGAAACTGTGATATTTCTGAAAATGTGTTCTTACGGTACGCTGCCTGTGAAATTGATGCCTGCGAGGTGTTCTGATGCAGTAATGGAGTCTCCGAATACAGGTCCATCAGCGGGTAAGAACTGGATGATGTTTGGGGGCATGCCGCATTCCCTCAGGATTTTGTAGACAGCATAGCTTGCAGACATGGCAGTGTCACTGGGCTTCCACAATACTACATTACCCTGCATTAAAAGCACAGTTTAAATACATAGTTAATTAGGCCACCAAGACAAGACAAATTGGCTCATGACTTTTTTTTTTTTTTTACACGTTATCTGGATCAGATTTTTATGACAATGTGAACAACCCAAATATATATATATTATATAACTGAGTGCCATCTGTCAATGCAAATACTTACTACAACTCAAAAAATATCTGTTTATCTTCATCTTTCACCATTAACAGACTAAAACTGATATTTTATTTTATGCTTGAGATTGGCATCTAGTATCAAATTGTGGAATTTCCAGTTAGAGCAATGACATTTCCATGGAGACAAGCTGGTATTTGACCCCCGCATCAGAAAAGTTAGATAGATACCTCAGTAGCAAATATTTTAGTGTGAGACAGCTGGTTTTCATGCAAGAAAGCTTTTACATAGTATCTTTCATTAGAAAAATGCATTTAAGTCCTATTTTGACAGAACCAAAGTTTAGGGAGACATGCATGTCATTCAAGAAAATTAAAAAAGCAAATTATACATATTTGTATATTGTAGCTACCAATTTTTGGGCTATATTTTGATGCTTTGATACTTACCATCAGAGCTGGCGTGCCTGCGAGATTCCCACCAATAGCAGTAAAGTTAAATGGGGCAACAGCAGCCACAAAGCCCTTAAAAAATAAAGATAGGTTATATATTGAGCACTCCTTTACAATTATTATGGGTTAAATAAGATTTCCAGACACTTACCTCAAGTCCACGGTAGATCATTGTATTTGTGCTTCCTGGAGCATCAATAGGCTGCTGTGATTCTAACTCAATGGCATGTTTGGCATTGAATCTAAAAAAGTCTATCAGTTCAGCTGCAGCATCAATTTCAGCTTGAATGATCGTCTTACCCTGTAACAAACACATCAGAAAATAAACTCTGCACAATATAAACAAACTAAAAAACACAACACTATTTACAAATCTATTGTAACACGCTACACAACACTATTTACATGATATTTTATACCTGTCCAATCATCGTCTTAGCAAGGACCTCTGCTCTCTTGGGCCCACTGATGACATCTGCTGCCTTGAAGAGAATCTGTGCTCTGTCCTGGACGGGCTTTAAATCCCATTCTCTCCTTGCAGCCACAGATGCCAGAATAGCTTTATTTATCAGCTCCTGCATTTAAAAGTGTTAATAAATTCAAATGACACTTGAGAGATAATAAGGAAATGGTATAGATAAAAAGCTTAGTATAGCAACTCACCTTGTCAGCATAACAAAACTTGGCAACTTTGTGTGAGTGATTAAAAGGCTAAGAAGATGCATACACAGTGAGACAGAACCATTAATTTTATGTTATTTTACTTTTTACCAAGGTAAACAATTGCCACTCTAAATGTTTCTACTCACTGATAGCTGATATCTGATGTCTTTGGTCCAGACATGTTCATCTCCAACAACACACGGGATCTCCTCTGTCTTACCTTTCAAATTTTCTAAAGCCTAAGAAAAACACTTGTCTGTGAATTGTAGAAGAAGAATATATATTTTTTTTTTATGTTTCACCTGACCTGCAAGAGATCTTTTCTTTCTTGGCTTCCATTATTAAATCCTAAAATGGGCTCATTCTTTACCTCTACAGCAGAACAAGAGAAGGTTTTAAACCTGCAAAAGATACATAATGCATTAAAAAGGCAGAAAAACTGGTTTGAACTAGTCTGTCTTTTAATAAATAGACAGGTGTACTCTGTCAACTTTGACATTTCATAATATTTGTTTGCAAAGCCGGCAGAATGACACACTGACTGAGCTAATATGTAACTTTGTCTGATATTACACCAATGTTTCCAGACCAGAGGTACGTGGACCCCTGGGGCACTTGCCAGGCTTCAGGTCCTGTACCTGTGTGTGTGTCTGTGTGTTGTGCAGGTGTAATTGCTCTATGATGTGTGTCTCTGTTGGTCTGTTGGTTGACTGATGTGTCTGTGTCTTGTATTGTAAATATTGTAAATATTTACTGTTTGAATACAGTTACATTTTATCATTTTTTATTTAATTTCTTTATTTTCTGTCATATATACAGAAATGATTATGCACTGTCCCTGAAATGAGCAAATTAATCTCAGATTTAAAAGAAAGATGTCACTGAATGGTATTTGAATGTAAAAAAAAAGTATATCGTACATTTTCAATACTTCACTACTAATATTTCTGTTGGATACGTTTGGCATACAATATATTAAAATATGAAATTATAATAGTTATAATTGCCATTGTATTAGTAAACGGATTTATAATTACTAAAGAAACACAGGTACAGCTAATTGGGGGTACTCAACAGTGTGAGACAACGCTTGATGGGGTCTAGACAAAAAAAGGTTGGGAACCACCATATTACACCGCTATAAAGCATTGCAATAAGATCAAAGACCTAACCACAACATATACTGGTATTATTTCATTTTGTATGGTTACTGCTGCTAAATAACCACAAAGCACAGCAACCCTTACCATAACGTAACAACGTCATGTTTTTTTTTTCTCTGGAAATTCTGGTTGACCAAACTAAACCTGAAGCTCAGCTGACCTGCAGGAAGCATGCAAGTAACCATGATAGCTCTTAAGTTAACATCAGTCCAACTGAGAGTGCACAAAGAGCCGCTATGCTCCATGCTTGAGCAACCCATGTTATTACAGGTGCAGTTTCACATGTGGTGCCCTGCTGTTAAGGCTCTCACGAAATCAGACTATTTTATATTCTATCTGGAAAATAAACTATGAAGTAACATGAAGACGAGCAAAGTAAAGGCGTCTTAGCATCTGTGTGCGAGAAGGAAGCTAACTCGAATTTAACACAAAATAAATTAATTCCTGTATTGAGCACTTTGACTTCGGTGAGCAAAATAAATAAACAAATAGTATATACTCACTTTTGTATTGATTAACCTAATGAACACGATCGTGTACATCGTAGCTAATACCTTAAATTGTTTCACAAGTAATAGCCTAAGGTGAACAAGTCTCGTGTATGCTCATGTGAAACAGCACCTACCCTCTCCAAGACTGGCAGACTGCTCCTCTCAAGCGTAGCATATTCAGACGTTCAGAGATAAAAACAAATGTACTGCTGAATTGACCAACAACTTCAGTAATCAAAAGAAATGACAGTATTAAATAACGTAAATTAAAAAGAGTTGACCAAAGAGTAGGCTTGTTTAGAAGGTTGTTCACTGGGTGACTACAAATTGGACTGAACCATCTGTAGAGAGGAGGAAACGATAATAGTGGCAGTTTAACTTTATTTTGTTAATTTTGCTTTCATTATCAACATATAATTTGCATATTTCTACATCATAAATTGTGCTTTGATTGTATGAGACAAAGTTTAAATATATCAGTGTGTTATACAAAACTGGTTAAAATCGTATTTTCCTATTAATGGAACATCTCAGAGGCGGATCTTCCATCAACCAATCGGTGAACGGAGATTTTCTTAGCAAATCATATGGAGGGGTATTTTTAGCAATGCCCCTTTATTCAGTCAATGGGCAAGACACATGTGTGTGCTTGCTTTCACTTATACAATCATTGTTTTAATTTATATTGACTTCGATACCTACCTTTTATTAAACTTTTTATTTATTTATTTTTTAATTATCTTTTTTTTAATAATCAGGCCTTCTTAGACAAATACATTGCAACATTGAACCAATGAGTTAGACTAGGCTAAAATGTAATTAAAAACAAGCATATACATGTGTCTAGTTTGTTAGGTAACGTGTTTCTGTAGCTACCTGATACATGATGTTAAGTTCATAATCGTGGATCAAAAGTAAGATTTTATTATAGTTTTATTAAGATTTTATTATAGTTATATGTTCATAATGCGATGCATGGCAAAATGGATGTGTAAAAAATGAAATATGTATGTATGTGTATGAAAAAAATGTCTATAATGCAAATTCAACTTATCTGATAAATCTTTTGCTCTTGATGTCTAAATTCCACATTCACTGTAGTACATTTTAGCTACAAACAAACAGACAAACAAACAAACAAACAAAAAACAAAACAACAAAAAAAACAAAAACAACAACAACTGAGATTTGCAATGCATTAAATGTACTCACATGAGCTGTATACTTCTCACTGTGCAATATATTGCACAGTGAGGAGTCTGTACTCTTTTTCCAATTGCAGATTCCGGGACACTGTTTTGAACCAAGCAGCGCTCCGTAGCAAAGAGGCGTTGACGAAATAGAGTGTTGTGGTAGAAAATAGTCTTTGCATCACCCACGATAGCAGTATTTGTAGCTCATCTTTTAATATTCAGCTTTAGTAATAAAAACCAACAGAGATCAGTGTTTAAAAAGTACCTGTCGTTAAACTCGTACAAGCTGGTAAGTGTATATTTGCCTTATCCATTTATTCTGTCGGGTTGCTGTTTCTGTTCCCCCGTCCTGTCACTGAGGTATTAGCATTTAGCGGCAATGACTTTTACATGCTTTACCTTCGCAAATTATGTTAACGTTGGCTGTTAAACTTCTTTTTGCATTATTCAGTCACACAATGCCAGTAAGGAATGTTTTTAATCTTACTCTTATAATGTTGATTGCTCGATGTAAGATGCTGGCTAGCAGAGACACTTGCTATTTAAAATCCCTCGGTACTACCTTTTAGTACACCAGACTTACACCATTAATTTAAAAGGAAACATTATTTATGTTAATCTTTTTACTAGGCTACTACTATTACTACAGCTAATACTAAAATGACTACTACTACTACTAATAATAATAATACTGATAATAATAATGGTGATAATGTTTTACATTTGTATTGGGCTTTACAAGCTCTACTGCAACTCTGTAAACACTTAAGATGCCACAGCTGCCCTAGGGTAGAGACTGCCGATCTGTGCCATCAAATCCCTTGAGCGCCCTTCAGATGGTGGATGAGTGCCCTAAAACTTGAGCTATAATAATAAAAAGCAATTCATCACTATCATAAGTCATAATTAATGTTTCTTTCTTTTGGCAGTGTATATGGGCGAGGAACATCTATACAAGCACCATGACATCTAGAGGAGGTGGAACTACGCTGACACGTCGTAACTATAGATTAGCTTCAGACACAGACAAACCAAAAGCCACAGGTTGTCTTTTAATAAGTTCTCATTCTTTATACATTCTTAAAGGTACAGTATGCAACTTTCTGGCGGTGGCATGTCACCTGCATGATTCCATAGAAATAGAAAGTTAACACCATACTTTGGAATATTCTCTATTGAGATACTGCATATGACTTTTATTCCATTCTGTGATTATTGTAAAAAGAAGATTTCTATGGAAACTAGCAGGAGGAGGGCCTCTTCCAGGCCAAATAAGAGTCAGGTTTGTGGAGATTCAGGATGGAGTGGAGCTGTTTGACCTCAACAAAAACAATCAAAATGAAAAAAAAAATAAATGCTTTGAGTTCAAGCTATTTTTATTATTATTTTTTGGCTAAAAAGTTACATACTGTGGCTTTAAATAACTGTCCATTAAAATATATATAAAAAACAAGCACAAGGAGTATTGTAAACCATCACATTTTAATATGCCAGTCTTATGATTGATTGTGATGCCCACCATCTTTTGTTATTTGAAATGTAATAAAATATAATTTTGTTTTTCAGGCATTGTAAGTGAGAAGCTCCTGAGTGATTATCTTCATCATGTATTTCCTTCCACTATGGGGCCGACTGTGGCTTCTCTCAGGTATCGGTTTTATGTAGTATTTTTGATAATTATTTAAATAATGTATTACACTTTTTATAGCAACATTTATAAAATACATTTCACATCAGTGCAAACATTGATTACCAATTTGGAAGTCTTTCAGTTTTTTTTTGTAATGTCTAATGTGATAGGCACTCAATTTAGATTGCAGCCTGGAGAATAACTTGCAGAATATAGAAGTGTTTATATGCATTATTCATTTTGTGTGTGTTTACGTCATGATGACCCAGACTAGTGTTTCTCTGACCTCAAGTCACTGGCCTATTTACTTAAGCCAGGCAGATTCATGTTACCCTCTGGAGTCTATACATAGTCCCCTGCATACAAACACACATCTAGCTCTTTCACCAATATCCTAAGGGTAGACCTGCTGTATGAATTTCCCCTTTCCCATAAACATTAATAGCGTCCTAATCCTAAATTCTATGAGGGTGAAAAATTAATGGTCTTGGCAAGTTGATAAAATTACAAAATTAGGTGTCATCACTTCTACTGTGTTATTTGTGTCCATAACCATGCCAGTTTGATTCTGTATCTTTTAAGTCACACTTTTTAAAGTCAAAAGTAACTAAAATGCAGTGTGTCTTTCTCTGTCAATGCTCAGGAAACCCCTTGGATTTCAGGATCTTGGCCCCCATCTAGAAAAATTGCTCTGTGAGGGAGAACCAACAGATGACAATAAAGGTACATATGAGATACACTGAATTGGAAGATAAATGTATGGTTGCTTTTAGACATTTATGTTATCTTATTATATTTCCATGTTATATGAGTGTGCTTCCATTCTTACATCAGATCAGACTGTTGAAGGGCGCTTGGGTCCCCAGCCTGTTGTCCTAGATCACACCAGTGGGTTTGAGGGCCTGTTGTTTGTTGATGACGACCTTCTAGGTGTAAGTATTGTAGTTATTAAGTATAACATTTAAATAATTTGTTTCCATTTAAATTATGTTTTTAAATTCATAGGTCATTGGCCATAGCAACTTCAGCTCCATTCGAGCCACAACATGTGTTTACAAAGGTAAGTAAATGTTTATAGGGCTCATATGTAAAGCTCATAACTTTACTTGCCTCAGTTAGTTAAATTGCACTAGTTATTAATATATCATTTAGTTGATTTCTTCTGGTACTTTATAGGGAAATGGGCATATGAAGTGCTAATCTCCTCCCAGGGTCTCATGCAAATTGGGTGGTGTACACTCAATTGTCGCTTTAACCAGGAGGTAAATACAGGATTATATTTAGCAATGTAGACATTTTATAAAAGGTCACATCTTTTTTTAAATTGTTTTCTTGTAGGAGGGAGTGGGTGATACTCCTGACTCTTATGCATATGATGGAAACAGAGTGCGCAAATGGAATGTTACAACGACAAACTATGGAAAGGTAAAAAAAAATGATAGTGTGCGATAGAGTGTGGAGTACTCGCAAAAGTACGTGTTGAATTCATTATCTGTTCTTAACTATTATATTAACTTAATTATTATAATTATTCTTTTCACAGTCATGGGCGGCTGGAGACATCGTCAGCTGTTTAATAGATTTGGATGAAGGAACCATTACGTTTTGCTTGTAAGAATTGATGCAATTTTTCTTACTAAGTATCAATCACTAAACTGTTTTTTTATTCAGGAATGGACAATCTTTGGGAACTGCTTTTACTGATATTAAAATGGGCCCAGGAATAGCATATTTTCCTGCCATTAGTCTCTCCTTTAAAGAGTCAGTGGCTTTCAACTTTGGTAGCAGACCACTCCGATATCCTTTATACTATATAATCTAATGTAGTCTTACTCCATTTTATTTTGGCAATTACCTGGCTTAATGTTATTGTAGTACTATTGATATTATTAATTAATTTGAAATCTGTCTTTTGAAATTATTGATGAGATGTTTTTTTTGTATGTTCTACCTTAACCAATTTTTGATTCACATACCCTGTGGATGGATACATGCCACTTCAAAATCCACCTACAGTAGATCTGTTGAAAGCACAAAAACTTCTGGGCTATGTCAAAAATGTTCTGTCTACAGCTCTGGATTTACAGGTAACAACCTGTTTAAATGCAAATTATATTTTCTGTTGAATTGTACTTTTAAATGACTCGCTCCTCTTAGGTACTCCCCTTATGAATCATAACTGCATTTTCATTATGCTCTGCCTGTTGTATTTGCTTATTGAGTGTTAACAAGCCATCATTGCAATTTTAATGTCACTGGTAATTGAATTAAAAAAAAGAACATTTGTGTGTAGGAAGAGCGATTGGTAGAGAAAGAAATTTCAGTGTGGAGACTTAATGGAGATCCTACAGTCCTGATAACCCTGGCTCACATATTCAACCACTTTGCTCCATTAATGGTAAAAAGCACATCATTGACTCTCACACTTCTAAATGTGTGTACATTTATTAACAATTTTGTTTGCCTTGGTAGTGTAAAGTTTATTTGGTGGAAGATGTGTTGATGAACTTTCTGTTGGGTATCCTGGAGGGTGGAGGTTCAGTTGATGAGCATCCACTCATTCAACAGCTGCTTGACCTCTTTTGGCTACTTATGGAGGTAACACTAATTTGAATGTTATAGTCAGCTGTTTAGAGATGCATATAAAAGCATTAACATTTATGGGTTGAATTAAAAGGATTATGAAGTCAATGAGTGTTTGAAGCAGCTGATGATGTCATTACTGCGGGCCTATCGTTTTTCCCCCATAATACCTGATCTTGGTTTCCAGGTAAGACGCCACATGTTGCGCCTTCACTTACTCATATTCACAATTGAAATTAATCAGCTGTACTAACAATAAAGACTGCTTGCCTTGTTTTGTTTCAGATTCATTACTTGCGTCTGACTACTGCCATACTGCGCCATGAAAAATCAAGAAAATATCTGCTGAGCAATGTATTATATCCTTTGGAGTAGTAGTTAAAAAAAAAAATTGATGAATTAAAGCTTTGGCCTGAAGACAGTTGTGGCCTTGACAGATATTTACATTTGATGTGATGCGTTCAGTGGTGTTTTTCTACATCAAGACTCCTCTGAGAGTGAAGGAAGCTGGTCTAGAAGAGCTTATACCAACAACCTGGTGGCCAACTCACTTTGACAAAGAGGTAACACTGTCAACAGCCTGTTCCTGTTCAGTTATAGTTTAGTAGGATATTTCCATCATACGCATGGGTATTTACATGCAGGGAAAAGATGAGCGAGAACCCAAAGATGAAAGTGCAGATGAGCGCCTAAGACGTCGGGCATATGAGAGAGGCTGCCAGAGGCTCAAAAAGAGGATTGAAGGTAAGTTATTATCTACATTTTAATTATATACGGTCTTTACACTTCTAACCTCTATCTAATCTAACGTCAATATTTCCCTTTTATAGTGGTTGAGGAGTTACAAGTGCAGATATTGAAGCTGCTTTTAAATAACAAAGATAAAACTACAGTAAGTTCTGGTGATAGAGAGACATGCCATCGGTTGTTCAGTTAAGTCATTTAGATTTGATTTTATCATTTATATTATTTAATAAACTATGGAATATTAACGGTGAGATGTTAAAACTATGGCTAACCCAGAGTATAAATTTGGTATGTATAGTTTATTAAATTCCTGTTTGTAACTGAAATGCCTCTTGAATTTAATTGGTGCTAAAACAACAAAGATTTACAATAAACATTTGCCCTCAAGCTTTCAAACTCCATACAGAAGTGAAAAGTTGGATGAATAGAATTGAAATTTTTACTAGTGTCAGGTCTGGACTGCACATGCAGTAAAATATATGCTGTTTCAATAACGCCTGCATTTTATTACTTTTATTTTGCTCAGGGGGAAGCATCACGATACATTTTTCTAAACAAGTTCAGGAAATTCCTTCAGGAAAATGCCAGCAACAGAGGGGTAAAATTACAAAACACCAAACACGTACTTATTGTATAGACAAAGGTTGATTGCTTATTTTTCGGGGCCAAACCATGTGTCTTCTGTTTGAAATTGTTGTGCTCCTTGCAGCATCCTACTGCTCTGTGTCCGCCTGAGTACATGGTTTGTTTCCTCCATCGGCTTATTACAGCTGTACGAGCCTGCTGGGATGACGGCAAAAGAAAAACTCCAGGCACCATTAACAGTGAAGGTGAGTCTCTACTGAATAGGACTGCGTTTAACTGCTTGATATTTTTTTTATGGTTTTAAAAAAGATACACAACATATTTTACCTCTGTTGTTCTCTCACATCTTTGCCGTTTGTTTCCAGAGGCCTATGTCCCTCCTCAGCTCTTCTACAATGGGAAGGTAGACTACTTTGACTTGCAGAGACTTGGGGGACTCCTCTCCCACTTGAAGAAGACTCTTAAAGGTTTGTTAATTCAACATTTTCCCAAAAAAATGTATACTTTATTTGTTTAAACAAATAAGTACCAGGTTTACTGAAATTCGTCACAGGTCAGACATGTAGAGAGTTTCGCTGCTCATAGTCAGATTGTATGTTTTTCAAGTGAAATAATAATAATAATAATATCTGTAAGTAAATAAATACAAGTTATATAGTACACCTTTTTCTTTTCATTAAAGAAAAAAGTGAAATAATGAGATACATTGATATTCATAATGAGTTTTTCAAGATAACCCAGACCCAGTACATTTATTTACATGTGATTTGCTGTGTTTGCTGCTCCTTGAATCCACTAGAGGGAGGTATTGCTTCACTTTTACAGGCATTTAGAATATGCACTTAACATTGGGCACTGAAGTGCTGAGTCAGTTGTAGTTAATCACACAGAATTTTAATAGATTTTTTCCCTATAATTTGATTATAAATGGTATATTATGTCTTTAATGTATAATTGTACTTAAAATTCATAAACTCCTGTATGCACTGCAGGTCAATTTTATTTGCACTCTACATCATTCTATTTTGAAGAACAGGTGGTATGCCAGTATTTAGTCTAAACATGGTCATTGATGGGCTGCTTTGTTTTCATGAGTCGTGCTGTTGTGAAATTCAACAACTAAAGCAATATGTTTGCTCGTCGTTGTCAGCAGATGCATCAGACAGGTGTGTAATGTAGACTGATAATGCCTTTACAAATTCACTGTGCAGGCAATATGTTCTTCATTCAGTGCCAGGGAAAACTGAACAGCTCTGCTGCCATCAATTACGTGACACAATGGGTAATTTGTTTGGATCTTTAGTGCTAAAACAGGTCCAGAGTTTTATTTAGAAAAGGTCTGTGGGTGGTTAGTGACCGGTGTGTAACATAACCTTTCAAAGTCACTCTGCTGCAGTACAAGGGCTCAAGGGACATTTCGAATTTCATACAGATACTTTTATTTAACTAATTGGATCAGTGAATATTTTCTGCGAAATGAATACTGATCAGTTTTCATTAAAAATATATATCCTTACTTAGGCCTGTCACGATAAATACAATATCAACTTATTATATATGAAAGTTAGAACTATATATTCTGTGGAAGAATATTTATCGTGTGTACAGTTTCTTTGTGAAAGTGTGGAGATTTTGGGCATTTTTGTTGTAATACAGTTACATTTGAGCGAATTATTGATCAACGTGGCATAAAGTAGTTTCAGTATTATCGTTTATCACAGTATATCTCTGTAACAGTATATCCTGCTTCAAAATTTGTTATCGTGCCAGGCCTAATCTTATGACATACAACATGAATATGAATATTGATCATCTTTAAGCTTTATGTGAATTCTGCTATACTTCTAGCTTTATATTGCAAATTTGCAACTGTTCACCTTTTCATGATATAGTCTTCTACAATGCCAAAAATTCGGTTTCTGTAGCCCTTCTGTTTTCTGCATCTAGGAGCACAGTTGCAACCATTCTTTATTATATTATTTTACATCTTGAACTGGATCTTTAAACCTTTTCTGAACATGTTGTTTCAGGTGCATGTTAGCTGTGTGCTATGCTCAGTGTTGGGGAGTAACAGATTACATGTACCAGAGTTACGTAATCAGAGTACAAATTATGAGTAACTGTATTCAGTTACAGTTACTGTTTCAGTGAGTGGTAATTGGATTACAGTTACTTTGTTGAAATAAATGGATTACACAGCAGTATTTTCCTGTTTTCACATTTGGGACTATATCCCTTTTTTTTTTTTTTTTTTTTCCTCAGTAATTCCACTCATTGCCGGACACTAAACCAGGTCTAAACCCAGGTCTAAACCCAGGTCTAAACCCAGGTCTAAACTAGGTCTAAACCGGGACTAAACCGGGACTAAACAAGGACTAAACCAGGACTAAAGCAGGACTAAAACTAGGTCTAAACCAGGTCTAAACAAGGACTAAACCAGGACTAAGCAAGTTCTAAACCATGTCTAAAACAGGATTTAACAAGACTAAACCAGGACTAAACTAGGTCTAAACCAGGACTAAACCAGAACTAAACCAGGACTAAACCAGGACTAAACCAAGACTGAACCAGGACTGAACCAGGACTGAACCAGGACTGAACCAGGACTGAACCAGGACTGAACCAGGATTAAACCAGAAATAAACCACGGCTAAACCAGGTCTAAACCAAGTCTAAAACAGGATTTAACAGGACTAAATCATGCTCTGTGGACTGTGTCTCCTCCTCTTCTTCTATCAATAATATTTTTAATTTGGTTAAGTAAAGACTCGGCCTTTTCATTTTCTTTTATCAGACAAAACATCTTATGTGAAGATTTCTGAGTCTTTGCTTCTCTACAGCAAATCAAGTAATCCAAAATATTCAGATTACGTTACTCACTTTAAGTAATTTAATGGATTATGTTACAAACTACATTTTGGGGTATGTAATCTGTAATCTGTAGGGGAATACATTTTAAAAGTAACCTTCCCAACACTGGCTATGCTAGCTAGTCTTTATGTGCCTCATCCTGCCTATGCATACATTCACAACTTGATTAACACAACCTCTCACGTAGCCCCATAAATCCTCAGGCCGTTCATTACTCTACCTACTTGCATGATCCTGTGTCATCCGTTGTTAACTGGGTGTGACCTCATTTATTGATTAGCTTATCAATTTGATTGAATGCTGGGCAGAGCTTTTCCATCTGCATATAGGGATGAAGTCAGAAGCAAGAGGAGGAAACTTAATGCATTCTGATTTGTAAGTGGCAAACACTCCTGAGGTGTTCATTACACAGGTGTTTGTGTTTGCAGGGAAACAGACATTCTGGGTATTTATAGTGTTTCCTATTCACTCAGGACATAAAAGCATAATATCTTCTGCTCTTTTAAGTATCGAAACAGAGGCTGTTACAGGGACCTTTGCCGTGGCACATGGTAACAGTAGAACAACAGTGCCCAGCTCAGATTTCTTTATCCGCAAATGCTTTGGACCACTTTTCCCATCACTTGTATTATCCCACATTATTATCACAAATAACCAAATTAGTTGTTGCAAATGTTGCAATGAAGTTTTTATTCTTTCTTCATATGCATAGCTGATGTAAATATTTGATTACCTTACACAGTCTCTGTTGTCTTGGCAATGTAGAATGATTTGGAGCATTACAACACTGTTTTAAATTCATATTGTAACATTTTATTATTTAAGAAATGATGCAATCTTTTCATACCAGTGCCTAACATTGCATAATACAACAGGTAAAACGCACAAGCTTTTATAGTGTAAATCATATATTTTCTTTGCTGTTTCATCAGACGACTTGGCCAGTAAAGCTAATGTCATCATCGACCCTGCAGAGATTCAGGCCACTTCCATGGATGATCTTGATGAGGATGAGGAAAATGGAGCTGCTCAGGTTCAGGCTCAGTTCTTAATTCTATAAAATTACACAACTGCACAATTAAATAGCATATCAATTAACATGAAGCTTATTTTTCACCTCACATCAGAGACCCTTTGGTGCTGCAGCAATGGGTGGAGCTCTGGCACGTCCTAGCTGGCTAAGTTCTCCAACACTGGGACGAGCAAACAGGTTTCTCAGCACAGCTGCTGTTAGTCTCATGACCCCAAGACGACCTTTTACACAACCTGAAAAAGTTAAGGTTCGAACTCTTGCTGTGGAACAGAGAACTGAAGAGGATAGTAAGTATTATCTTACTAAAAAGGAATCATCTGAATATGACCTAATTGGGGGAAAAATGAGTTATCTAACTTTTTTTAAACAATCTTTTGCCTATTTTACTTTTTGTGTTTTGATCCTTGTGGTAACAATTTATATATTTTTTCCATTAATGCATCAGATGTGAATCTGAACAATTGTATTATTTAGATTCATTACCTTTTTTATGGCTTTAGGTTATGCAGTGCCAGGGTTTACATTTATGATGCCTTACAATTTACAGACTAAACAAAATACACCTGGGCTTGCATTATGTGAACTTTTTTTCTGCTCCTTTTAACTTTCTAGTCGAGGGAAGCCATGGTAACGATGGCCTGTTGCTGGGGCGACCGATGGAAGAACCCGAGCAGCCAATCGCAGACAAGTCCCTGCTGGAAATTGTTGATGGAATTGTGATGATGTACAACCTCAGTGTTCATCAGCAACTTGGCAAGGTGGGCTTGGCTTTATACATAAGGGCTGTTTAAAAAGATATTGGTTTAGATACCATGCGTACTCAATCTAGGAAACTCCCTACGAGTCTCAATCCACAAATTGCTCCATTTGTATGCATGAGGTATATTCTGACCTTCACAGAGGGCTCTGTCAGCTAAAGCCACTATAAATAATAAAATCTGATCTGTCAAATGCTACCTATACTGTTTTATAAGCCTTTATAGTGCAAATATAGTTCTACTGTTTTCATTTTCAGCTTTGAAAGCATTCTTCTTCACTCATCTTACAGTCTTATCAAGTAAATTTTAACTGCTTAGTGTAATTATTATATAAGGTCAGCATGTATGTATGGTTGACACTTTAATTACAAGTACAAAATAGGATCTCTTCTTTCTTTTATACAAAGTAGTAGTAGTTTAAGTGGTACATTTGATCTAGAGTGCTATTCTATGTTTTTGTACCAATTTAGTTCTCACACCACAACTGCTTTATCTTTCTCATTTTGATATAAACCCCTGCAGTGTTAAAACAAAGATTGGCCTTTAAGTCGACAAAGCCCTTTGACCTATCAGATATTATTTTGTCCCATTTTTTAAAAATTCAAAGATATGACCACTAGTGTCCTTAGTTTAACAGCCTTTGTAGCTGTTAGTTTGCTGACTGTATTGCCTTTTGTAGTATGTCTGTATGTATTGTGTCCTCGCACGACAGCACCACTGTAGTGGGTATTTATATATTATGGTAAATATATGTATTTATTATTGTTGTAATTCTACTACTACTACTACTACTACTACTACTACTACTACTACTACTACTACTACAAATACTACTACTACTACTACTACTACTACTACTACTACTACTACTACTACTACTACTACTACTACTACTACTACTACTACTACTACTACTACTACTACTACTACTACTACTACTACTACTACTACTACTACTACTACTACTACTACTACTACTACTACTACTACTACTACTACTACTACTACTACTACTACTACTACTACTACTACTACTACTACTACTACTACTACTACTACTACTACTACTACTACTACTACTACTACTACTACTACTACTACTACTACTACTACTACTACTACTACTACTACTACTACTACTACTACTACTACTACTACTACTACTACTACTACTACTACTACTACTACTACTACTACTACTACTACTACTACTACTACTACTACTACTACTACTACTACTACTTTACTTATTATTATTTTTATAGGAGAGTTGTGCAGTGTCTAATATTTTGAATGAATAAGTAGGGTACCCGAACTTCACAAGTTCAACAATAGACGTACTATCTCTGTCTGTCTCATGTCTCTCTGCAGGTGGAAGTCTTGATACAGGAACCCAATCATTTAACTCTAAAAATAACTTAAAGACCAGAATCTTTTTTGAGGCTTATTGGTAAAAAATCAAGCCAAAATAGTGAGAATTTAGGACACAAGGAAAAAAATTATATCACCAGAATTTGCATGATTGTGTTAGTATGTTACTATATTGGAACTGAACATCATAGATTGAGCATTAACAAAGTCCTTTTATGTTTGTTATAAACAAACAACTGTCCAAAGAGTCCAAAACAATATAATAAAGGAAAGCTGTGGGACAACCCCATTATTAACTGGGTCACTACTTGTACATATTTCACACACATAAAAAAGTGGCACTAAAATGAAGCTTGTGATGCTAACAGTTACAGGAGTGAATTTGGAGCCAGACTCTGTTATGAATAGGAATTTTTTGAACTGATAAAATAGTGTGGGAAAAAAAACAAGGATCATGTAGAGTGAGTTAATACAAACATTTTAAAACTAAAATGATGAGGCTCTCTGCAGCAGTTACAGAGAGAGGGATGACAATATTCCAATGTAAGTCAAAGGGACCCAGGGTCAGAAGGAGCCGGAAGTGCCTGCATGCGAACTTCCTATTTGGAATGCCACGGCTAGCGTGTACTACAGAAGGTTAACACCTTTTTCTTCCCTTTTCAGATGGTGGTGGTCTCAGATGATGTTCACGAGTATGCTGTAGCCCTGAAGGACACAGATGAGAAAATAGCACGGTGTCCCGTGAGAGTAAGTTGGTAATAGAGATGGCTCTTGTTTAAAATCATTTGGAGTCATTTGTTATTTTTAATTATCATCCTCCTCATTACTGGTCTTAGCTGTGCCGGATTTTCTACTTTTTATTGCTTGCTAAATGGTAAATGCAGGCAATTGCTTTCTCAACAGTTGTATGCATAAAAGGACAAGACAATACTTTTGAATAATGAGTTTATCTTGTACTGTTTTCTTTTGCTGAAAAAACATAATTTTTCATGGCTAGTCTCACCCAAGGTATTAACGGAGATGCTGTTTTTATCACCACTTTGTACTAGCAGAATGACATAACATTTTGTGACAAAGTTTACTTTAGGGTTTGCAAGAGCTGAATATAATCATTTGTTTTCTTGGTGCTGTGTTGATGGTAATTGGCCATGCACCAGTCAGCAACACTGTCAGCCGTACTGTGATGTTGTCTCATTACTGTAGCACCTTGGGGTGTCACTAGTAAACTTAATAGTAGGATAACAATCTGGTGTAAATAAATATACAAATGTGAAAGGACCATTGTCTCACTAGCACCTGGCATGAACAAAAAAAAGATTTAAAACCGTAAATTAAAATTATTATACAAACCTCACAAATTAACAAGATACATTTAGGACAGCAAATGTTTTATATAAAATTGTCCATTGTCTGACTCTTAGAGACCAGATATTTTGGAGGAGCTCCAGAAAAGCCAGAAGGTTTTTGCAGAAAAGTTGAACCACCTAAGCAGAAGACTAGCCTGGATTAATGCCACCGTCTACTCAAAGGTGATCCAAATATGTGCATACATTCATTGTCTGAACTGTAAGTGACCACATATTATATATTATTTATCCCTGTCATGTTTGGAATTCCTCAGGAGAAGATGTTGGACATATACTGGCTACTGTGTGTATGCATCCGGACCATTGAACACGCCGACAACACTGGGTCTTTGTTTGCTTTTGCACCAGAGTTCTACCTCAATGTAGCTATGAATGCATACAGTGCTCTGAAGAACTACTTCAGCCCAGCCAACAGCATGGATGAACTACCAGGTAGTTAAAGATAAAATGTAGTATAGTGTAGCTATTCGGTTATACCATTTATATAAAACTATTTTTAACTCAGAAGTCTGAAATGGTTTCCTGTTTATTTTTAATGTGTCAATAATGCATTAAAAATAATACAATAATGACATAATAAGACATTATTATTAACCATTTTATCTAATTGAAACCATTTGTGACCATCCCAAGCTAACATGCCACTGTCAGGTTTTAATTGGCTTGCCAAGTATCTTTTCTGCACATTTAAGCAAAACCTCTGTCATTGTCACCTAATTCTACTTTTATTTCCCCCAGGCTACGAGGAAACCCTGACTCAACTTGCTGCTATCCTTGCTAAGCACTTTGCAGATCCACGTATAGTTGGAACAGGTAAGACTCACTTTCATGTTTGTCTTCCAATTCTCAGTAGACTGTAGGTGGTCTAATTGTAACATCAGAGATTTTCTTTTCTTAATTAATGTCATCTGGTGCCTTTTTCTTTCACTTTGGTTGCTTTTGATGGTAAACTTTGATCTAAATTCACAAATACAGTACTTACGTTAAGAGATATAAACCAATATATAATACATGTGTTGTTTGGAGTTACTTGTATAGCTATTTGTTTTAGACTGTGCTTTTAATGTGATGTTTTACTTGTTTCAATATTAATGAAGCCACTTTTATTAAAAATGTGCTTTTCTTATGTTGCCGTACTGTACAAGGATTTCTTTGTCTCTGGTGTGATGTGCCTTTGTTGTGTTAATAAACTGATGAAGACGTGAGGAATAGGAGGCACTTATTAGCACCTTCATCAAGTGCTAATCTGTACCCATTTAAAAATATCTTCCAATATTCTCCTTGTAGACATTAAAGATTCTCTGATGCAAGCCCTGGCCAGCTATGTCTGTTACCCACAATCCCTCAGGGCTGTCGAGAGGATTCCAGAGGAACAGTGAGTGCAATATGTTGTCACAGCTTAAGTTACATGTTTTTCTGTGTAGACCAGTCAAAGAAAACAAAAATAGAAATTATCTTTGTTGCCACATATTTGATCTAATTTTGGATCTGATTTTAATATTCTCTCAGTAAAACTTGTTTAAAAATACTTTTTTTCATGTAAAAATATCATGTTTGCTGAAGGAGTTGGGTTATGTATGAACTGCTGTGACCCTTAACCATTTTTGAACATTGTAGACGAGTTGCCATGATGAGGAACCTGTTGGCTCCCTATGAACAAAGGCCATGGGCTCAGACTAACTGGATACTGGTCAGACTCTGGAGGGTAAGGTCTTCTTTTAGCACTTTACTAAAAAGATTATAAAATAGAATAAATACATGAAACAATTAAATTAAATGACTGACTAAATCCTTTGAAACGGGGTCAGATGCTGAGTAAAATATTGCTGTATTATTTACTGAGCATGTTGTTTTTCAGGGTTGTGGTTTTGGCTACAGGTACACTCGACTGCCTCATCTCCTCAAAACCAAACCTGAAGATGCCAATCTTCCCAGTCTGCAGAGTAGGTGCTCCCATACTTTTCAAACCCTGTGCTTTTTGTGCATATGTTTACTCACTGTGTGTGCTTCGGACCATTCTCATTATTGTTTCTCAGCACTATGTGTTTGGGCAGCAGTGTATTGTGAGACTGTGAGATAGTACAGCCACTGTTACAGTAATATTATAAAAAGAAGAAAACTATTTCTACTCTATAATCTTATTTAACACAGCATCTGAAAAAAACATACTTTTTATTGCACCCAATCAAACTAAAACACTGATACTGATCTTTAGATGGTCTTCATATTAAGTTTAAATATATTGTCTCTTAAAATTATGTAAGTGTCCTTAGGCAGTATGCTTCACCCAGCTTGTCTGTGAATGTGGTGTGTAAGTGATGGTGGTAGGAGGGGGCGATGGCACAGATGAGCAGCCTTGCTTTTATCTGTCTGCAATTTTGGATGCCATGCCCTAAGCTGTATTATTCTTTTGTGTGCATCTTTAGATTTTGCTTATTGAGCTGTGATCCCCCTTTCATTTATTCTCTCCTGCATGAAACAACTTAATTTGTGTGACTTTTTACTTGCATGCATTTCAGGGGATCTATCAGTTGCTAGTTTTCAAAGTAAGTTTCATTTATCCCTCATAGTTCCTCTATTTTTAGTGACAAGGCTATGAAACTTATTAAACTTACTAAGTACTAACTACTAAGTAGTTTTTAGGATTAAAAAAAACATTGTCAGCAATATACTCTAGATGGGAATAGAGTGCATTCCCAGTGCTCATGCATTATTTACACATTTAGAGCATGTTTTGATGTTGAATCTGGCACTGTCCTTATCTGCTTCTGTGTATGCTTATTTTTAAATTAAGCCATAATAATGATTTATGAACAGCATGCTGTGCCATCAATATGGCCTCTTAGGTCAGCATTTAGGGCTGTTTCACAAATTTGCCTATGCTGTTAATTGGTATAATTTTCACTCTTGCTGACTTTGGCTTGACCTCGGTGATTGCATTTTTTGGGATAATGAACCCTCAGTAGTAGCTTCAATACTCCCTGGCAGATGAAGTGGCGTTATCCTTCTGGGAACCCAGAGGAGACATAGGGCAGAGAGGAGAAGGGAGGAGGACAAGAGGGAGCAAGATTATTAGACTTAATGAATTCTTAGCTCCTCTGTGTTCCTATCACTTCCCCCAGAGGAGCCCAAAGTATTATATAGCAGCACATAGTCTCTACCGGTCTCATTTCCCTTTTTACTCTCATTTGTCATGTTTGTGCACATTATATTTTCCCAGTGTAGACAATTTCTTTCCTTTTCCCTGTTATCTGCAGCAGTATTTCTCCTCCGTGGTGCTTTTCCTTCTCCAAATCTTTCATCTGAGTGACTCATGTTTCAGTGCTTGGTGCATATAATGCACACCTACAAAGTCCAGCAATGAGGATCACCACCAAACCAGGAGCAGTATAGTTGCTAACAAACAAAAAATAAGTACTTCATAATTGTAAAAATTTTATATATTTTATAAAAGCATATTCTTTTAGAAATTAAGATGTACACTTTGACTCTGCAACTGCTTGACATCCCTTTTCTACAAAAGAACATGTCTGGTTCAATGTACTCAAAGTATAATGACAAGCAATTTCATCAATGATACAAGTTCAACACAAGTTCAACAAACATTCTGATTGATGTGTGGATGATCTGAAGTATTTATGTTATATTGTATGTTATACTGTTGAATGCATTTGTGAAAAATATCTTAGAATGCTTTTCTCCGGTCTCCCTAATTAGAGCCGTGCCCATCGCTATTGCTGCAGAGACACATGGCAGAACTGCTGAGCCTGGATAAGGACATGGCTGCCTCCTTCCTTAACAGTGTCCTGAACCAGCTCAACTGGGCCTTCTCAGAGTTCATAGGCATGATCCAAGAGGTATGCTCAAAACATATACTTACTTGTGTGTATTGTTTGAAGACAATTTTTGACAAAGCTTTCCCCCTTGGAGCTGATGCTGAAGTAACCAACTTTTGCTCATACCATTAGTAAATTCAGCCCACCTTCCCAGAAACTGTGTTGTAGAAGCTGCTTCACCTATTTGTCTGGAAAAGCTGTGCTAGTGGCCTATGCTTGTTTAGTTTAGTTTAGTTTAGTTTAGTTTATTAAGATCCCCATTAGCTACTGAAACATCAGTAGCTATTCTTCCTGGGGTCTCCTCAAATTCATTACATACAAATTGTTATATAACACATTTAATAAAATACTGTGATCTAAAACATCAAATGCCACACTCAAGTCTAAGAATACAGTGCCTATAAGATTTTTCTTATCAATTTCCTGTAGCCAGTAATCTGTGATTTGAGTGAGCGCTGTTGTCATGGAGTGACCCATTTTGCATGTTGATGAATGGTATTTAACCCGTTAACTAAAAAATACTTTTGAATTTGATCAGATGCCACTTTATCCATGATTTTACTCAATACGGGCAATAAAATAATTGGTCTACTGTTTTTATCTGATAATGGTTCTTTATCATTTTTTATCAAAGGAATTACTTTTGCTGTCTTCCATTTTGTAGGAAAAATACCTTTAGTTAAACTTAAATTAATTATATGAGAAACCGGTAAGAAATTATGTCTGCCACCAGCTTTATTAATTTAGCTTCAATATTATCCATTCCAGCTGGTTTATCCTTACTTGCCTGTAATAATTCTTTCACACTATTTTGTGTTACAGTATTAAATTTGAATTTACAAAAATTTGGTTTCCTTTTGTGTCCTGGCTGCATGGCATTTCTCAATTTCTTAATTTTATTTTTAAAAGATTGTTTCAAATAATTTGCAATCTCTCTTGGTTTAGTTAAATAAACCCCATTTGATTCTACAAATGTGGTTGTTGATTTTTTCTTTCTTCCCAAAATTTCATTTAATGTTCCCCAAACTTTTAAATTATCACCTTTTGCATCTCTAATCTTCGTTTGTTAATATAAAAGTTTTTTACTTTTGTTCAATTTGGTCACATAATTCCTTAATTTACGGTAATTTTTCCACAGTTCCACATTATTAGTATCATATGCTTCCATTTTGGCTTTATCTCTTTGTTTCATGTATTCCTTGAGTTTTTGATCTAACCATGGGGCAGAAACATTTCTCACAGCTTGCTTCCTCATAGGAGCATGTTTATCCATGACCCTGGTCATCAAGGTGTTAAAAATGTCCACTGCTCTGCATGGATCATGAGCTTGTGTTACATCTGACCAATCTATTCTTCTTACATCTGTAACAAAATCATCCTCTTTAAAAATTTTTAAAATGTTCTTTTGCAAATAAATTTTTGACCAGGTTTGGGTACCTTTGTTTTCTTATAACTGCAGTTAAATTGTGGTCACTGCAACCAACTGGAACAGAAATAGCCTCAGTGCATAACTCTGGCACATTTGAAAAAAATAAATCAATTAGACTTCCTGAGTGCATCCCATCCACTTTTACATTTACTCCAGTGTATTTACTGACCAGTTGTGATAGATTACAAGTATTGGCAAATGAAGATAATTTACCTTTTTAAGGCACAACTTTCAGGCATAAAATCAATATTTAAATCCCCTAAAAAATAAATTTCATTTTCACTATCACATGCCTTATCCAACATGTTACATATTTGGTCAAGATACACGACTGCAACATTTGGTGATCTGTAACAACACCCAAGAAGGACAGGCTTTAAATGAGGGAGCTGTAGCTGTAACCACATCACTTCCACTCCTGGGGTATTAAGATCATTTCTGACTTTGACTGGAATATGGCTTTGGACATAGCAAGCTAACCTTCCTCCTTGTAGATTTCTATCTAATCTGTAAATATTATATCCATCTATACCTAAAGCAGAGCTATTTATTGTTGAATCTAAATGTGTTTCTGATAATGCTAATACCTAAAATTATAATCTTCTATTAAATTCATAACTTCATTAACTTTATTCCTTAAACTGCACACATTTAAATGAGCAATTTCAAACCCCTTTTTTATCCAACATAACTATCATGAAATATTCTTGCCATCATGATTTTACTTTTAATCTTACATTGAGCTTTCATAACATATAGCCACTGACAATGATACTTACATTCAATCCAATGTTCTTTAACCCTGGCTCGATTACCGTTTTGACATACGTGTCAGCCACACTGCGCTCTGTGAATTTTTTAGTCTTACCTTTGAATGTTATTATCAGCCTGGCTGGATGCAGAATCCCATGCCTCACTCCGGTGTCTCGTAGTTTGGCCCTGATCTCCTGAAAGCTGGCCCTTTTCTTTGCCATCTCTGTGGTCAGATCCGGGAAACCAGAAATGTCCTTGATGGTATTAAGTTGAGATACCACCACCCTTATGTCTTCTCTTATTATAGTGCGTATTAAATGCGCCAGTTCATTGGAACTGTTTTGCACACCTGTCGCTGCGTCATGCGCTCGTCTTGTTGCGTCCCGACTTCTCCCTCTTCTTCGTCTGGTTTAGAGTGGATTTTTGTCTTTTTGGTCGGCATGATGCTGAGTAAAGGTCTTTTACTTTTTATTCAAAGAACTTTTAAGGCACTTTTTATTGATTAAGAGCCTCAATTCTACCAAGTTCTCAGAGCTTGGCGTGCTCGCTGTGTTCTCAACTGCTGCGCATGCTCAGCACATGCTTGTTAATGTGCCAAGAGGTTTGTGAGAGTTAGGGACTAGTTAGATTTAAATACTAAAGTAATTTTTCAGTGTGAAAATCAGGTACTCCAGTTTTAATATTTTGAGTGAAGTTTTCTTATCAACTGATCTCTCAGTGTCATTGTGGAATATAAAGATGTTTTTTTCATTATGCATGCCTGATGTAGAAGCTATCTGCCGGTTAAATAAGGTGCATAATCCAATATCACACTGATTAGATATGCTGAGACCCATGATGCACATACAGGATAGATTGGAAACTAATTCATCCACTTACTGAAGTGTTGAACCAGAAGTCATTGACTGTCTTATCAATTTGTCTGATAAACCCACACCAAGGCTTACTTTACAACAATATAATCTGCTGTTTTCTTTTCATGTGACCTAATCTTTGAGAAACTGTGAGAAACTGTATTGCTGAATTTCAGATGGCATCACATCATTCTATAGGTCAATCTTATTTAATACAGATGGGAGGCAGATAAAATTTTTTTTAGATTTAGATTTAGATTTTTGTTGTAATACAGTGAGTCTAGTCATTAATAGACACGATCAGGTTCAACGTTTGTGCATATACTTTTTGGATATTTTATGGTAAAGTACAATCTAATTAATAAGAAATACTGTCTCTTGCCACCATCTGGGAGTATGATATCATCACATTCTTGAACCTGAAAAATGAATATCCTAAATACAGACACTAGGGAACACATTTTATCAACTACACTGATGAGTCCTAGACCTTTGCAGTATTGACAAAAAATAATATCTCACTTTTTCAGGGATTATCCCAATGGCAATATTCAGACAAACATCTTTTACTGTTCTATGTATTATTGTATTATACTATTTGTGTAATATTTTACAATCCCTGGTTTTAACAAAACAATCTACAAGTTACACCTGTTGTAAGATATAGAGAAACCGTAACAACTTTAGCCCAATTAATTACTTGTTGTCATTGGATTTGGAAAGTCTACTGTGCAGAAAAAAAAAGTTTAAGATATTTTTCTCTGCCTTGTTTTCTCTCCTAGATTCAGCAGGCTGCAGAGCGCCCAGAGAGAAATTTTGTGGATACTCGTCAACTAAAGGTACCCAAGGGCATGTCTGTCCATTAGTTTTATTATTTCGAGTCACATACTTAGTTCATACCACGAATGTGATAGTAGTGTAACTTGCAATATTGTTACTGCAGGTGTGTGCCACATGCTTTGACCTGTCTGTAAGTTTACTGCGTGTGCTGGAGATGACAGTTACACTTGTACCAGAAATCTTTTTGGACTGGTCGCGTCCATCTGCGGAGCTCCTCCTTCGACGATTGGCACAGGTATGTTCCTTAGTCATTTGTACCCCTGTTTGAAATGTCCATGCTGTGTATTAATTCTTTCTAATTATTTTTCTCTTTCTGCTTGTTAGTTGTTAAACCAAGTACTGAATAGAGTAACAGCTGAGAAGAACCTATTTGATCGTGTTGTCAATCTGAGACTGCCAGGTAGACATTCAAAAACTTTTCCTTTCACAATTCTCCACATTTTTTATACTTTTCTTCTAGCAATATTTATGCTTCATAGTGCGACTGTTATTGCACATTTCAGTTACAATAACAGAGCAAGGAAATGTATTCTGAAATGGCTTGTTGTTGATAAATGTTGAAGGGCAGGAGCTTTCACAAATGATGCATTGTGTTCTTGTCCATGTGTGTTTTTTATCGATAGAATAGAAACTTTTTGGGGTTGTGCAGTTTCAGACTAACCTTTTGCCTAAATTGGAGTCTGTGATTTGGCTGATGCAATATGATCCACAAATGCCCCCCAGCATCAATATTAATAAGTGTTTCTGCTGCAGGTCTTGAAAGCGTGGACCATTACCCCATCCTCGTGGCTGTTACTGGCATCTTGGTCCGTATCCTAGTGGATGGAGACAGACAAGGGTAAGATGAGATTTTTTTTCCAATTATTGACTATGTTTAGAAAATATACACTTAAAGTAAATATAAAAGTTGTAACAGTTGTTTTGAGTATTTGAGAAAAACTGTAGTCAAACAGGTAAACCATTTGTTTATTAACAAAAACAAACAGACATAACAAATTAACAAGTATATTAGGAAATACAGATAATGTTTGCATTATTATTATGGATCGGGCAATTTCTGCCGTTTTTTGGATTATGTTGATAACAGTTATATGATATTTTATACCCTTGTTATTAGAGACAGCACAATTGATTGTTTCTTGGTGCAGTCACCAAATGAATGATGAAGGTATAGCTTTTATTTGAAGTACTAGGGTTTAATGCAATCTATGAACATTGTGATTCTGTTTTGTCATTCTATACTATTAAATACTGAAATAGGTACCAAAAAATACTGTTTATATATTCAAAAACCAAGAATCATTCAAGGACACCCCCTCTCCAAAAAACAAAAAAACAAACAAAGAAAAAAAAAACATTTTCCTAGCCCTAACAAGAAGTTATAGTTAATATAATAGATAGATAGATAGATTTATTTATTGTCATTGTATGAAATACAACGAAACTTCAGCAGAGCAGATCTGTAGCAGTAAAAAGTTTTACAAATATACACACATCCTCACATCCATACCAATAAAAAAAACAAAAAAAACAACAACATTTATTAAATAAAATAAATAGATTATTGCACCGAGTCCCTTCAGGTCTTTTATCTGTGCCTGTGCCCTTTTAGCACGTCCACTGCTTGTGGATAGAAGCTGTTGCGCAGCCTGTTTGTGCGTGTGAGGGGAGTTTGAAGTCTTCCTGAGGGGAGAGTGTGGAAGAGGCAGTTCCCGGGGTGTGTGGGGTCCTGCAAAATGTTGGAGGCCCGTGTGTGGAGACGTGAAGAGTAGATGGTGTCCAGGTTCGGGAGTGAGGAGCCCACCACCTTTTCAGCTGTTCTCACCACTCGCTGCAGGTCCTTCTTTTCAGCAGCTGTGCAGGCTCCATACCATGATGTACAGCAGTACGTTAGAACGCTTTCGATGGTGCACCGGTAAATGTTGGTTAGGAGCTTCTGGGAGAGCCCGTTCTGGCGGAGTGTTCGTAGAAAAAACAGTCTCCGCTGGGCACGCTTTATAGCGCTGATGGTGTTTAACCTCCAGGTTAGATCCTCACTGATCTCCACACCCAGGAACTTAAAGTTGGAGACCCTCTCTACCTCTTCTCCGTTGATGTAGAGGCCAATGTGATGGGGAATGCATTTGTTTTTCCTGAAATCAATTATCATTTCTTTAGTTTTCTTTGTATTTAAGTGCAGGTCATTGTCTTTACACCAGGAGATCAGTGTCAGGACCTCCTCCCTGTAAGCAGCTGTTTGTTATGAGCCCCACAATGTTTGTGTCATCAGCAAATTTGATGACAGTGTTGGAATTATGGTGTGCTACGCAGTCATATGTGAAGAGGGAGTAGAGAGCTGGGCTCAGGACGCAGCCCTGAGGCAGACCTGTACTCACAGTGATGGTGGAGGACAAATGCTGGTCAATTCTGACGTGCTGGCGTCTGTTGGTCAGGAAGTTCTTTATCCAGAGACACAAGAGGGGTGAGAGGCCAAGAGTGAGCAGTTTATTAAACAGTTTGGTTGGGCTGATAGAGTTGAATGCAGAGCTGTAATCCACAAATAGCATCCTGACATAACTGTTGGGAGTTTCCAGGTGCGTCAGAGCAGCGTCAGAGCAGCGTGCAGTGCAGCGCAGATGGCATCGTCAGTGGATCTATTGGTTCTATATGCATATTGATGCCTGTCCAAATTTGGGGAAATGCATGATTTGATGTGAAATAAGACTAGCCTCTCAAAGCATTTCATGATTACCGGAGTGAGAGCAATTGGCCGGTAATCATTCATGCAGGTGACAGCTGAGGTTTTGGGCACTGGTATAATGGTGGCTGATTTAAAAGAGCTGGGAACAGTGGCCTTCTTTAGTGACATGTTAAATATGTTTGTGAATACTGGGGCAAGCTGATCAGCACATGCTTTCAGTACCCTACCTGTCACTCCATCGGGTCCTGCAGTTTTGTTGCAGTTGATGTGAAGCAGCTCTTTTTTAACTTGGTAATTTTGGAAAGTGAGTGGGTGTTCACTGTCCAGAGGGCAGGTCACAGCAGATGGATGGAATTCTCCTATGGTGTTAGGGCTGTCCTCAAAGCGGGCAAAAAAGGAATTCAGCTGATCAGGAAGAGATGGATTGATGGGAGCTGAGGTGGGATTGCCCTGCTTGTAATTTGTCATATTCCTCACACCTCTCCACATTGCACGGGGGTTATTATCACTGAAGTTATCCTCAATTTGCCTTGCATGTTGTCTTTTAGCAACTGTAATGCCCCTGCGCAGGTTGGCCCTCGCCCTTCGATACTCCTCCCCATTTCCTGACTGTAGTGCTGCATCCCGAGCTCTATACAGTTCACGCACCCTGCTGGTGAACCAGGGTTTCTGATTGGGGAACACTTTAATGTGTTTTTTAGTTGTTACATTGTCTGTACAAAATTTAATATATGACAGGACTGTATTTGTGTGGTGCTCAATGTCTGGGTCTTCATAGAGTTCCATAGTAGTAATTGTAGTATTATTATTATTAATCTGTGCTCTTTGCAGCTTTTTTTCAGTTATAGAAAAATACTCAATATTTTGCCTATGTTCAGATGAACAATTTCAGTTTTACATCATTTTCTATATTTTGCTTACCTTTAGTCTCATCTGTTCTATTTATGATGCTCCTGTTGTTGGTTGTCATATGCATTTAATTAAGATTTAATTAACATGGCTATTTCTCCAGTGACATGGTAGGGATGATGAATCCAAACCCATTACCCCTCAATAACTCTCAAACTAAATTACACTGTGAAGGTCTGTTGACAGCTGTAGAAGCAGCAGGGATGACAGATGATGAATCAGTTTGGGTAAAAGGCCCGTCATACACACAGTAAAAGGACATGCACCCTTGACTGTTGTTGCAATTTAATTTCCCTTCCCAAAAATCCATTGCTGTTTTTTTTTCTGTAGCGTATTAGCATTACCTTAATTTAGTAGTATTTTGTTCAGTATTTTTATGTAGTTTTCTACAACCTCATTCACACATGCTGTACACAATCAGGTCCACAGTGGGGCATATCACACAGTGTTGATAGGCTTCAGTGTAGAGGAAATTTAATTACCAGATGATAAAAGCTCCTGCTGGTGCCATGGAAAACCACCAACAGTCAGGAAACGCTGGCTGACAGCAATGAGATTCTGGATGGGAGGCTTCACTCAGCTTAAGATCTGACTTCTGGCATCATAAGCGATACTGATTCCCACATACACCTACGGTATATAGGCCTGTCACAATAACAAAGTTTGAAGCATGATGTATTGCTATAGAGATATATTGAGATAAATGATAATATTCAAACTATTATGCCACACACAATTAAAATAAAGCAAGATAATTCCAATGAAACGTGTTTTTAATATCATTAAATGGCCTGAGCTGCAAAAAATAAATAGCTGAATGAATCAATAATTAGCCATAGAAGTCACTTATTCAATTAGCTACAGCTCAGATCTCTGCAACAAAAATGTCACAAATCTCCTCACTTTTGCAAAGAAAAACTATCCATGATAAATATTAAGCCACATAATATATTGTTACAGCTTTCAATAAGTCAATATAGTAATGATAGTAATATATCAATTACATGTAATTCATTGACATGAAATTTATGCTCTGAAACAAGCTCCTCTATGTTTTTAAAGTTAAGTCACTTTCGCCATTTGGATTATGCCAGATCTCCTGTTTCCAACTATGCAGCTAACCAACTTCAGTGTTTGCAGCTGCTATTTTTAGTCTGACTGAAACCACCTCACCATCCAGCGCATCAGCAATATGAGTTCTCGTGTCCTTTGCTGGCCTTTTCTGGCCTTTTGAATACACTGTCAGATAACTTATTTTCCAGACATTTACATTATTCAAAGTTATACAGCCTGGAAGACTAAAGCTCTGATGTCCATTAGTGACAAATGTGTAAATCACACCTCCATCACATTGATTGTCTGTCTCTTTCTGGATTCCCTGTTATCTATTTTGTGTTGCTCAGTAGTGTAAACGGTTTCATCTTCCATACAAAATCTCATCTCCCATACAAAATCTTCAGGTCCCCTTGAAATTTCTAGTCATATAATTTGGAATAGGTTTTGTAGCACAGAAAATGACCAATTGTTTGAGGGTGTATCAGTTTATATTATTTTGAATATACCCCATTGGACAAAGAAAAACTAATGAAGTAGCTGTGCACCGGGATTTAGAAAGGATGTGAAAGGTGATGCATCAGTGAAGCTTTGACATTTCAGAAAACTCTTCACGACTGACTGATTCTTAAGTAAATGCAAATTCAGCTCCAGTCACCATCTCACATTGACAAATAGGGCAATTACAGCAAACTGCTTACAAACTTACTGAGACTGAATGACTCTTTAAAAAAACAAAAACAAAAACAAAAAAAAACACTTTTTTTTCAACATTATTTCATTCAGTTTCATTTGGCTGCCAAAGTATGCATATGATAATATGTTAGCACTGGTAAAATCATAGTTGCTTTAAAAGTATTTTGTATAAATTTGTGACAAGCAGTAACTCTGTGAGCTCCTAATACAAGCTGTGGCGATGATGAATGATGAATTAAATTAAATGGTGATGA